TTGGGCTACCCAGGTCTGGTCCAGGCCTGAGAGAGGAAGTTGGAGCAGATGAGTCCCCTCTGCACTGACCTCCAAGGCAGGGCTTTATGTGTTTGCCCTCTCAGACTCTCACCTACCCGGGAGGGGAAGGGACATGCCCCAGCTGGTTCAGCAACAATGTTGAGCTGGAATCCACCTTGCCTATGGGTCTCTACCCTCGTAGAATATTCCTTGAGGCCCACGACCTTAATGCAGAAACCCGAGACCAGACAGAGCCTACATCCCCAACATCTCTCTCATCTCTCTGTGCCATGTGGCCTGGTATTAGTTCCCCTTCCCCATCCTGGGCTCTCCTCTGGACATGTCCCTGCTCTGAGGACTGGGATGTTCCCAGGGGTGTCCTCTCAGCTTCACTCAGAGCCAGGTGCTCTGTGACCACCTCCTCCTATTTTCATTTTTGTTTTTATCCTCACCCAAGGACATTTTTTTGCATTTATCCTCAGATAGAGTGGGAGGGAGAGAGGGAGGAAGAGAGAGAGAGAGAAACATCGATGTGAGAGAAACACATCGACTGGCTGCCACCCACACAACCCCAACAGGGGCCAGGGACAAACTGCAACCAAGGTACATGCCCTTAGCGGGAACCGAACCCAGTCCTTTCTGGACCATGGGCTGACGCTCTAACCGCTGAGCCAAACCGGCCAGGGCAGCCTCCTCCTATTTTCACTGCTTGGTGGAGTTGGCTCAGGGACAGAAAATGGGGTGCAAGCTCTGCTGTGTGACATAGGCCAGTCTTTCCCCTCTCTGGGCCTCATCTGTACACTGAGGGGCTTGCACTGCAGTGGTGTTTCCTTGGGTGTGGTTCATTGGACCACTGTTTCTTGGGAAGTGAACGCATATGGCAACCAAAAAGGAAGTTTCTCAGCTAAACAAGTTTGGGAAGTGCTGGAGGAAACAGTCAATTTGGTACCTTCACTGTAGGCTTTCTCAGGGCCTTGGGAAAGCCAGTAAGCATCATACATCTCCAAGGGGCAAAGTAAGTGTCTTATCCCAAACATCTGGGTCGATGGCCCCCTGCTCACTGTCCTGCCCTCTGCCTTTCTCTTCCTCTGCTAGGAAACCCTTGAAAGAAGCCCCAGCAATTTAGAACCGTGAGTTTTTTGGCTGCTGAAAAGCAGCCCTGTGCTTAGCAGAGGCTGGTGAGTCTCTGGGTGAGCTCAGGAAAAGCCAGGCCCCTGCACTGGCCGGTGAGGAGTAGCTTTGTGCTGGGTGGGGCGAGCTGGCCCCTGGCCTAGTGGGGCTCCCAGGTCTCCAACCCTGCAAGGCCCTTCTGCTCCATGTCCCAGGCTCTGTTATCCTTCACCCTGGAACACCCTTCACTGCTCTCCCCACTCCCAGCGTGGCTGACTCCTCTTCCTTGAAAACCGCCCCTTCTCCAGGAAGCCTTCCCCGACTCCTAGACCCGGTGGGACCTGGAGTCAGGACCCCGGTTGGGGTGCAGCCCTCCTGTGGACATGTGCTGTCACTGGGAGCAGCCACTTCTCTGCCCTGGTTCTGGCGTATGGACTGGGAGAGCTGTGTAGAGGTCTCCAGGGCTCCGACATACGGAGCACTGTGATTGCCTAGAGGAGCCACACCAAGCAGTTCCACCTGGCAGCCCCACCCATCTTTGTTTTGAGGCCCCTGTGTACACTGGGGCTGTGGGGTGAGCCTGGGTGGGGAACTACCGTGTGAAGGATGTGTATTGTCTCGGGGAAGGACGCCTCTGGGGTGGGGAAGCTGGCAGGTGCTGAGTGATCACAATAATGTCACAAGATCATAGACTGGGTGCAGAGAGGGGCTTAAGATTCATTCAGCACCACACCTGCATTTCCATATGAGGAGGCCCAGTGTGACAGATGGGCCCACTGTCACACACAGCAGCTGGGGCTGCTGACTTCACACACATCAAACTTGCCCCTTCATGCTTTTCTGGTTATGCACTGGCACCATCCTTAGCCCTTCGACTCCTCACAATAATCCCTTGTGGTGAAGCAGGGATATTACCCCTGAATGCAGATGAAGAAAGTGAGGCTCAGAGAAGTTATGTAACTTGCATAAGGTCACACAGCCCACTAGTGGCAGAGCAGAGTTTGATTAACCGTGGACTGTCCAACACTTTCCTTGACCAGCGTTCTTGTTATAAAAAGCAACTCCCACTTCCTTTGTCCTGGATTTCCCATTCTCCCCCCCAATCTGCCCTGGTATCAGCCCCTCCCACCGCCCTCTGGAATCCCAAATCCTTTGTGGCAGCTCATCTGTTGCCATGGCACCAGATTATGATGTCGCAGACCTTGGATGACTATGCGCTGCCCCTGGGCTGTGGATTACAGGGACTCACAGAGGTGGGCATTGTCCAAGGGGCGACTGGCATGGAGGGACATGACTCCCTGGAAACAGGGAGCCACGGCCTCCAGCCCAGCTGGGGAATCACCCTGGGAGCTGGAGCCAAGGCCAAGAGAGTGGGGCTGGCATGGCTTGCTCCGACAGCCTCGAAAGACAGCCCGGCCCTCATCACTTGGCAGTGCTGATGTAGCCTCTTGACGGGCTGTCGGGCTCAATTCACTGAATGACCCGGCACTGGGATGCTTGCTCAAGTTCCCCAGAGAGCCTTTCTGCCTTTTGTACTGATAGCACAGCACGGGAAAGCCACCGTCCCCACTTGCCCAGAGAGGGAAGGAACTTGCGCAGAGTCACCCAGGGAAGAGGTGGCCGTGCCGGGACTCAGTCTCAGCTCTGACTCCAAATTCTTCCATGTGGTTACACTTCAGATGGGCCCATCAAGGTGGTTCAGTCTAGTCCCCAACCTGAAAGTGCATGCTGCCTGCCTGCCTCAGTTTCCCCAGGACAATCCACTCTTAGCACCAGTTGTCATAAACCCAGACTTACTCTACGGCACACTGTGGGCACGTTCCTGGACCGTGGTTGCTCTGCCTTGTCCCGTGGCTCCTAGGACTCATCACTCTGCACTTGCCTCTCTGGAGACCTCCTTGGGCCAGTATTGCTGAGACGACTGAGGGCCTTAGTGGAGGGAGACTCAGTTTTGGCAGCTGCCACGCAGAATTGCAGTCCTACTTCTGCCACCCTCATCTCTTTGAGCCTCTATTTCCTCTTGTGTGACTGGGATGAACAGCAGCTACCAGATCACTGGTAGCAGACTGTGAGGTCACATTGTGGCCCTGCTTTCTCCCATACGTGACCTTGGGCATGTAAGTTAGCACCCTTGGATTTTCCCATGTGTCAAGCGGGACACATGGCCCTTTGTCATAGGGGATCCTGGTAAAGTACCTAGCACAGAGACTGGCACACAGGACACAAGAATGTTAGAGCAGGAAAAAGAAAACACTGGAATGTACGTTTCTCTTTTGGATGCTGAGCTTCTGGTGGAGAAAACACTCTGTGTCCATGTCGGGAACCGCCCCAGGTGCTGTGGCCCATAACTGTGCTTCCTTTCCCGTGCTATGGGCCATGACTTACCTCAAGGCAGTACTGGTGTCTGCTACCTACCACGATGCCTTGGCGCAGGGCTCAGGGAGGGCTGCTCGGGACCCCGCCTGGGATTCCGGAAGGCTGGGTCTGATCCTTGCTGTTTCCTGGGCTGGTCTCTTTCCCTCTCTGAGCCTTTGGCTCCTGATCTGTGGGTGGATTCTGCACGGACAAAGGTGTTCTTCTATGAAAGTAGGAAGAAAAAACTCACCTTAGAATGAAGATCTGCAAAGATTCCACTGAAAAGAAAGGCAGAAATGGAATGGACTCAGGAGACCCAGTGTCTGTCCCCAAGTCCCTGCCAGGCTGCTTGGGGGCTGTGGGGCCGATGGGAGGATGTACTTAATTGAAGACTGGCCACTGGGAAGGAGCTTCTGGGAAGGGGAGTCCCGCCCCAATGTGTGTGAGCAGAGGCTGGGTAGCTGTGTTTCCATTGAGTTCAGTGCCCCCACTGCCGAGCCAGGTCCTGTGCTGAATGTGACCAAGTACGACGCTGGGGGAGCATCAGGCCAGGGAGGGACAGGGAGAAGAGCAAACCATACTGGAGCCTGTGCTCTCGTCCCAGTTCTGTTACCAGCTGTGAGATCTCAGCTTGCTACACACACCCCCAGGAGACCATGAACACCCCATTTCCTTTGCTTCTAATTAAGACTTCAAACCGTAAAAACAGCAATAGCTGCTACTTACCAAGCATCTGCTGAGTGCCAGGATCTTTGCTGCGTGTTTGTCATACATTATAACTTCTTGTTACTCCCCCTCAGAGCCCTTTGTTTCCTTCTTCCCATTATATACATAAGAAAATAGAGGCTCAGAGGCTCAGTAACAACCTTAAGGTCAGGCATATAGAAAGAGGAAGACTTGGGATTCAAACCCGGTGTGGAGGCCTCTCCCTCCAGACTAGATGCACCCTAGGGGCAGAGACCGATTTGGGTGTCTTGCCCAGTTGATAGATTCTCCTTCCGCCACTCTGAACAGAAGATACTCATTCATCTTGCTACAAAATAATCATTTGTCTTTATAATTTATTATCACTTGCTTTCTGGTGCTTACAAAAAAGAGGCCTCAACTTTGGTCCGGTCGGGGCGGGGGTGGGGGGCCAGGATAGGCAGGTAAGGGACTGAGAACTGGTAGAAGGGGCTAACGCAGCTGTGGTAGGTGATCAGGGAAGGCTTCCTGGAGGCTGTGACAGTGGAACTGGACTTTAGGGGAAGAGAAAGGTGGGATAAGGGAACAGGCATTCCCTTGGTGGATGGATCCTGTCACCCTTGTTGGACTTGAGCTCTGAACTTGGAGGGCAAAACAGGTGTCACCTGCCTCCACCTGGTGCTCAGTAAAAGCCTTTCCTGTTTTCTCCTCTTAGCCCTGGGGCACCCTGGGGCCTAGTGGGGCTGTGGAAGGTCATGTGGTCCAGCACGTTCTGGTCACCCATAGTCACCTGTCCTAGGAAAGCTTTCTGTGCCCACCAGGCCCCTTACGTTCTTCTCCTCGCCCCACAGCCAAGAAGACTTGTATGGACAGTGACTTCACCTGTGACAACGGCCACTGCATCCCCGAGCGGTGGAAGTGTGACGGCGAAGAGGAGTGTTCAGATGGCTCCGATGAGTTCGAGGCCACTTGCAGTGAGTCCTGACCCTCAGGCTTGGGGTGGGGGCCTTGCTCTGGGCTTTGGTTTCCTCGTTGAGCATCCTTTTGGGAGGATGGGAGGCCAAGTGAGGTGATCTGTCAAACACAGCCCTCGACTCACCTTGTGCTGTGCCCTCGGGGGCTCTTGGCCAACAGCAGGTGAATCTAGTAGCTGGTGTCTAATGACCTGTTTCTGGGCTTTCTTCCCTTGCGCGGTGGGCCCTGGTCCTGTAGAAACAGCCCCTTTGAGCCTTCGGCCCAGAAGTAGCCACAGCACATCCTCCAGGCCTCCCCGTCTACTTCCCCCACTATTGTTTTGAGGACTCTAATCATAACTCTAATAGTACTGATGACAGCCGGTGCTTATGAAGCATGTACGGTGTGCCAGGCACTGTGCTAAGCGCTTTGTACATATTCATTCTTTTTTTTTTTTTATCCTCACCCGAGTACATTTTTGCATTTATCTTCAGATACAGTGGGAGGGAGAGAGGGAAGAAGAGAGAGAGAGAGAAACATTGATGCGAGAGAGACACATCGAGTGGTTGCCACCCACACGACCCCAACCTGGCCAGGTCCAAACTGCAACTGAGGTACGTGTCCTTAGCGGGAACCGAACCCGGGACTCTCTGGTCCATGGGCCGATGCTCTAACCGCTGAGCCAAACTGGCCAGGGCTGTACATATTAATTCTTATCCCACAGCAGCCTCATGAGGCAGGTATTATCACTTTCTGAATTTTTCAAAGGAGGACACCGAGGCTCAGAGAGGTTGAGTGACTTGCCTAAGGCTACCCAGCCAGGTCTTTGAAGCCTCAGTTCTTTCCTCTGCCCTGGGCGGGTCTGCCCAGGAGCCCCAGCCTCCATGGCAGGCTGGTGGCAGCCGAGGCAGCCGGGGGTGAGGTGGAAGGCCAGAGCTGAGCCCCAGGCCTCCCTCCCACACTCAGGGCTTTGTCTCTCTGTGATTTCTTTTCCAGGCCCTAATCCTCAAAGCAAACTTACACCAGGCAGGTCATTCTGTGACATTTGTTAAATTAAAAAGGAGATGAGAAGGGGGCGGGGAAGGACCCAGTGGTCCTGGAGGCAGAGCTTCATCTGAGTGAGCCTGAGACAAGGGGGGGGGGGGGGGCAGGCAGTTAAAGCACGTGGAGGATGGTGGGGTTGGGGGGGACCTGCGAGTCACAGCCCCAGGTCCTTGTTAGGGGTCCCAGTTGCCTCAGAGGCAGAGGCAGGGACAATGGAGGCCAGCATCCCATCTAGTCCCATCTAGGGCTGCAGCTAGTGATAACTGGGTTTCCTTGTCTCCTAGCAACAGAGCTACCAGTCTCCGAGTCACAGAAAGAAGGGAGAGAGGCGGTGAGAGCAAGAGCAGCCCAACCTGAGGCAGGGCCCCCTTCCCTCGCACCACTGTCCCTGCCTTCCCTGCAGTGCCCGGGCCTGTCCTTTCCTCACCCACCAGGTGGCCAAACCCAGCACTGTCCTGGAGGTGCCTGGGCAAGGGCAGCCAGCTCATTGTCCTGAGCTTCAAAAGGAACAAAGCCCAGCTACACCCACTGTGACTTTCCTTCTCATGACAACCTTGGAAAGGGGGGAAGTGGAGTCCCATTTAGAGAGAAGAAAACAGGCTGGGACAGGTTCGCCCACTGGCCCAAGGCTACCGAGCTAACAAGAGGCAGAGCTGTGTGCAGCCGCAGCAGGGTATGGGGAGGGGCTGTGGCCACACGGGCTTTTCCACCATTGCAGTCAGCCAGCTGGGCCACCCAGCCCTCACTCTAGCAGTTACCCTGGACACAGGGGCGGGGGCAGAAGGGGAGGGGAGGGAACCCCATCACTATTATTATCAGGATCTATCTTGCTGCCTGAGAGCTGTGCTCCCCCTCTCCCCACATCTCTTTGTTTTGGTGACCCTTTTCGTCTTCCTCTTGCCCCTGAACCCCGCCACCAGTGTCCTGCCCACCCATTCCCTTGGGCTGCTTCCCTTCTCTGCCTGCATCCTGCCCTGCCCCACGTCTCCCTGTCTTTGTCCCTTTTTCCCAGTTAGCACTCGCTGCCTCCCCATTCTCTGGGCTGTGCAGGGCCCTCTGGTCTCGCCCCTCCTGCCTCCCAGGCCTGCTTGTACCCAGCTCGGGGGCACTGTCATCGGACAGCTGAGTAACTGGAGGCCGAGAGAAGCGGAGGGCCTTGCTTCCAAGGCACACAGGTTGTTCGCAGCTGGTCTGCTTTCCGTGACGACAGGCAGGCTCCACAGGCTCTCTGAGGCCTGAGACAGTACCCGTGGGAGTGGCGCCAAGGCTGCGTCCAGGGAGCCAGGAGGCCCAGCTCTCTGGGCTCTCCCAGTGATTTGCTGTGAGGTCCTGCATACTTTCCTGCCCCTCTCTGGGCCCTGGTTTCCAACATCCACAATTCCAAAGACCATGATTCTAAGATTCCTAGACTCGTAGGCTTCTGGGACACTCTTTCTCCCTTGCCTATGCCCAGCTGGGACACAAGGCCCAGGACCCCACTTCCCGTGCAGAGCTGCATGGTCAGAGGCAGACAAGGCCTATGGGTGGGGAGGGCTGCCTGGACGAGGTTGGCCAGGGTGGGACCTTGAGGGTCAGGCAGAATTGGGGCAGCAGGACCTGGTAGCAGGCTTGCTCACAGCTTCCTGACCAAAGGGGACCTGCTGCCCATTTAATTGGTGTTGTCATAGCAACCTTCACAGCCTACCAGGTTTCTGGGGATTGTGCCAGCTCCCAGGCTTGAGCCCCCTCCCCACCCTCAAAGAAAGATTATAGGCAGTAGTCAAGTGTGGTGAGTCTGGTGTTTGATATATTCGGGTTCAGGTCCTCTAACCTGTGAGTTTTCAGGCAGATTGATTTCCCACTCTCCCTGGGCCTCAGCTTTAAACTGGGGTGATGGTACCTGCCTTGCAGATGTGAGGCTCATGTGAAAAAGTGCATGTCAATGCTGGAGCAACTGGCAGGGTTCTTTTTATTATTATATTTTGATTCAGGCCCTCTCTCTCGCATACACCAGCTTAAAATCTTAGAATAGTATAGGCGAGGGGGTTGCATCGAGAGGGAAGGGGTTTGGGAGCAGCTTCCCATTGTTGCGTTCCTCCACTGTGTCCTCTCCTCCTGGCTAGGGCTTCTCCCAGCTGTTTCCTTCTGGTTCTGGACTCTGTGTCTATCAGATATAGCCAGGAGTCACAGTAGGAAAGCCTGGGATATTTGCCTAATGAAAGTAGCATTTCAGTTCTAATTATAGCTCACTTGATTGGGGATGGCTTCTGACCCATCTTCAGGCATCTGTGGGGGAGATGGTGGGTTGGAGATTGGCTCAAGGTGAATGAGTTACAACTCTGGGTGCTACTTACTAAAAGTGGGGTTTTATTCATGAGTCTTAGAACCTTTTCCCCTGGAAGAGGACCTCACTGATTAACCGAGTGCACCTTCCTGTTATAGCTAAGAAGTGGAAGCCTAGAGATTTCCTAAGATCACCTGCAAGTTAGGGGCTGACCCAGCTACAAGTACTTAGTCTGAGCTCATGTGAAGAAACTGGTGTAACTGCCCCTTCTGCACGGTGGATGGGACAGCAGCTGGACACTGCTAGCTCCCGACGCCTGAGCTCTGGTCCCCTTGGAGCCAGCTGTCCCCACGTGGAGGCTGTCTGGCCCTGAGCCTCACGTGACCTGAGACTGCAGACGTGCTTGCTCAATAAGCAGCCACCAAGTACTTTCATTCTTTTATTCAACAGACACTTCCCTTTTTATTAATTTGTGAGCTTATGAATTAGAGACAGTACCCATGGGTTTGGATTTCTGGGGCAGGTTTTTTCTGGGATTGATCAATGCTGACAGGCACTCCAGTGTGCAGTATTCCTGACGTCTGAGACAGTTGGTTCCTCACTCCTGCCTCTCAGAATCTGGGGATGCTTGAGCAGCAGGCTGAGGCATCCCTCAGGCATCTGTCTCAGAGAGAGAGAGAGAGAGAGGTGGGCAGAGACAGACGTGTGTTATGGGATGGGGCTGATCCTGATGGGCCATGTGGACTCTGATCAAGTGTGTCCCTAGCCCTTTGCATTTTATGAAATAAAACGTGGGCCATGGTTTTTTGAGTTTCTTCCAGGTTCTGAGAGTAGGGATTTCCATATGTTTCTCCATTTAAAACACCCACCAACTCTAGAAGATTTTGTTAACCCTGTTTTCAGCTGCGGGGAGCCAGAGTGCAGAGAATTTAAGCGTCTTGCTGAAGGAACTTGGTGTTAGTAAATGAGAATTGGGCCCAGGTCTGTATAACTCCAGAACCCATGCTCCGTCTCTTGCCTCGTGCTGCCTGAGGCCTTTGGCTTCAGTTGTCCTGAAAGTGCAGACCCTGCCTTAGCAGAGGCCTCGTGAGCCTCCTCCCTCCAGTACCCTTCTCGATCCCAGGGATTCCAGGGAGGCTGACATGGTTGGGACCAACGGGGCCTGCTTTTCTCTTGCAGTGGTTAAGGGTTGAGTGCAAAAAAGTCAAGCATTGCATTTGTAGTTGAGACCTGGGATGGAAATCCAGCTCTGCCCCTCACTGCAAGGCTTTGAGCAAATGACTTACTCTTTCCTGGCTTTGCTCTCCTCATTCATAAAATGAAGGTAATGATAGTACCCTCCTCCTACAGAGACACTAGGCGGTGAGAGTCCTGGCCCAGGAGCCCAGAGAGCGAGGCTCATGTCCTGGCTTTGGGGAAGATCTACATCGCAATGGAGACAGGGAGGTTCCAGGGGAGACAGGCAGTTGGAACAGCCAGCATCCAGTAGCCTCAGCAGGTCCCTTCCCCTCTCCAGACCTCTGTCTCCTGTCACTGTAAGGCCTGCTCCTCGATGTGACCCCCAAGGCCTCTCGAGTCCTGGCATTCCAAGATGGTGCCTTGGTTCTCTGAGGGCAGGAGGGCTGCCGTCGGGCAATGCTGAATCCTCAAGAGCCTGTCATTAGAGCTGTCTATTTAGGGACATAGCAAATGTCTTATTAATTATAAAGAAAGGAAGCAGACAGATTGTTTAATCATTGTCCTTGCTGAAAGGTTATGCAATTAACTGTACAAATATTCATTAAAAGTTCAAGCGGTGGCCTGCTACACTAGGGTCTGCAGAACCAAGCCCCCAGAGGTGGTACGGCCAATGGTCAAGGGACATTCCAGTCACCTGGGCTTTGGGGCAGAGAGTTGGGAGCCGGTTCTGAGCCACTTCTCCACCCATAGGAGCATGTGGGATTTGATGAGAAGGGCGGGGCTCTGATCAGAGGCACCTGGACTCTGCCTCTCACTGCTGTGTATCTTTGGCCATTATTTGGTCTCTTTGAGCCTCAGTTTTCTCATCTGCAACATGGATGAGGGACCACTACCTGCTCCACTCTATGGGCAGCGCAGACACGACAGGCTTTATGAATGGTGTCCTGGAGTTGCTTCTCACAGGCTGCAGGGCCTGTTTACCTGGCAGGGTGAAGCCAAGAGTGAAATGGGAAAACATCCAATGCTTGGCATGGAGCAGCCTGACACACTGAGGGTGCTCCGTGAATATGACTTCCTTCCAACTCCCCTGTGAGGTTGTTTCCTGAGGCCTGGCTCAGGAATACACGGTCACCTTGTCCCTCCAACCCATTGCTCTCGCAGGGGCTTGCAAACATATAGAACATTACTGTCGCTTTTCTGGGAGTACATTTAAAGGAGATGAAATGTCCTGTATCTTTTGGATTTGCAGAATGGTAACCTGGGGGTTCTCAAGGGGACACATGGGAATCAGTGGGGTGGGGGAATTGCTAAAATACAGATTCCTGGGCTCCGCCTTCAAGTCTGGAGTCAGTGTAATGTGGGCTAGGGCATTTCCAGGAGCCCCCACATCCTCACCCCTTAGTCAGGACTCTGGGAAATGCTGGCCAGCTTCAGCTCCCTATGTTCTGATGGGCCCAGAAGGGGACGTGCTTGCTGATGCCCTGCAGTGTTAGTGTAGGGGTGCTCTGGAGGAGCCCCACCTCCCGACTCCCAGGCCCTTCACCACCCTGCACTGCAGCCTCTAGGCCACCCAGGCTTCACCCAACAGTTATTTATTAAGGGAAATGTCTATAAAAAGAGTCTTGTGAATCCTGTATTCCCAATAGGATGCTTTCTATTTCACAAAATGTATTCCTAGGGATAACTCTGGGGTCCGTACTGGGGTCCAAGAAACTGCTTTCTCATGACACATTAATGTTCGGAGGCCTGATTCAGATAGCTGCGCCCCTGCCCCACCTTGTCTCTGCCCTTTTCTCCATCCCTTCTGGCCTCTATGCAGCTTTGAAAGTAAGAAGAGTGCCAACTGGCCTGAGATGAGAGAGAAGAGCTGAGGGTCAGACAACAGTAACCCACTGCCTTCGGGTGCGATGGACTGTGCCCAGTCGCTGGCATCAGACACAGCTGGCTCTGAGTCCTCGCTCCATTCTTGACCAGCTGTGTGACTTCCCACCGTGCCTGGTGCACAGCAGTGATCGATAGATGTTCACAGAGAGAATAAACTAGTCCTCATCTGTTACTTGTTGATGAGGAGTCATTAGTGCACACTGGGCTAAACCTTCTAGTTCTAAGTTTTCTTAGTCCAGAGCCCATGCCCTTGACCTCTGCTGGGGGCCACAAGATACTCCTCACCCTGCAGGAGTTATTGTGAAGACTAAGACTGCCTGGCACATCCTCGAGATGCCTCCTGTACACCCTGAAAGAGTCAGGAGCCAGCCACCAAGGACTCAGATGCGTCTGCCTTGGCTGGGTCTGTCACGTGGGTCATCCTTAGATGCTCAGGATGAGAGCCATCCCCAGCCTTGATCAGGGTTCTCATTCTTTCTTCGAAATTGAGAATCAACCCTGGGGCTTCGGGCCCCTGACTGAGTCAGCCTCTGATTGCGGCTACAGTAATTATAGCTGTGTGGTCCCGCTGGGCCCTGCCACGCAGCGCTGCGCTCAGCAGCTGGCTTGCACCATCGCTGGAGAGGGACTTGGAGGGGGTGGGTTGTACTGGGGGAGCTGTAGAGGTCTTGGTGAACCCTTCAGATCTATAGGTTCGGATCATGGTGTCACTGATCTGGAAGGCAAGCTGAGGCCCTAGGGGGCATCTTGCCCAAGGACACACAGCTAAGAGATGGCAGAGATGCATGTGGGGTGTGGCAGCTCCATGTTGCTGGAGCTCAAAGGGGCGGGAGGTGGGGCCAGTGAGGCAGGCAGGGGTTGGCTGGATCAAGGAGGCTTGAGTGCCTGGGTAAAGGGGGGCATGAAAGGGAGTTAGGCGGGGCAGTGGTGGAGTCAGATATAGGATTCAGTCTTAGGGGCACACAGGGGCTTCTCAGATGAAGAGACTAGACACACAGAACAGGAAGGCTTTGGTGGATTCCCAGGGCCTCAGGCCAGGTGGCCGGGGCCAAGCAGTAGGACTGGTTGGCACCATGCCCTCTGTCCTCCTTGGCCAAGCCATGCACATGTGTCTGTCTCCACAGCCAAGCAGGTGTGTCCTGCAGAGAAGCTGAGCTGTGGACCCACCAGCCACAGCTGTGTGCCCGCCTCATGGCGCTGTGACGGGGAGAAGGACTGCGAGAGTGGAGCGGACGAGGCCGGCTGTGCCACCTGTAAGTCTGGGTCATATCCCTAGGGTCTGCCTCACACAGTCAGGCAGTCCCTGGGGGCTTGCTCAGTGGAAAGGAAAGGGGGATGATCAGGACACTAGTAATGGCCAGGCACTTTGGAGACATTTTCTTCTTTCATCTTCACAACCACCTCACAAGCAGCCATTATTCCCATTTTATGGGTGAGGAAACTGAGGCTCAGACAAGCAAGTAAAAGTACTCAAGGCCGAGTGATGGAACTGAGATTCAAATTCAGGTCTGGACAGCAAAGCCCATGAGTTTCTTTTTTACCATGCCTGACATTTGCTCATCCATTCCATGTCTCTCCGAGCAAGAGCAGGGAGAATAGGCGGGGCTATAGCAAGAAATGGTAGTGGCTTGGGCCAGGGCACTGGCAGTGTCAGGGGCATAGGGGGAGGGGGAGGTGGGGGTGGGGAAGAGGACAGATTCCTGAGGTGTAAAGCACTGTTGCTGAAATCTCAGATTCAAGCGCAAATGTTACAGGGCGGCCTCGGCAGGAACAGATGGAAGCGGTCACTGGGACAGTTCCACATCACTGAGCTTCAAACACAAGATTATCTCCATCCCAGGGAGTAGGCCAGCAGGTCCTGGGCCAGGGGGGAGTGAGGCTGGGCCACGCTAGTTTCAGTTTGATGGGCACCTACTGTGTGCAAGGCCTGAGCCAGGCTCCGGAAGGGACAAGAAGCAAGTCCTATCCGTTCTCCCTCTGGGAACTCATGATTAATAAGGGGACAGACTGGCTGTTGATAACTAGGCTGGGAGGCTGGCTGGTCACTCAGGAGCTCTTGCCAGGCACTTGCCCACCACTGTCTCCACCCACTCCCTCAACCAACCTCTGTATTTGCATCTTATCCATCCTTGCTGGCCCAAGGGAAATGCCATGTCCTCCTGGGGCTTCTGAGTCGCAGCTCTCTGAGCGTCTGAGTCTGGAGTTCGGAGGTGTGTGAAGCAGGAAGCATCTGGGTGTGGTGGGAGATCCTGACGGGCCAGCAGTTTCAAAGCCCCAGTGACAGCACTGGCTCTTTTCTTCAGCTGGATAATTTTGTGGGGCCTCACCCTCCATAATCAGGTGTTTCCTCGGTCATAAAGACCATCAGCCACTTACTGCAGGAGTGGAAATAGCTCTAACTAGGGCATGTTGTAGCAGGAAAGTTCCCTGTTACTCAGAACAGACAGGGGTGTTAGAAGGTTTTAGTGGGCTTCTCTGCTACAGCTCCCAACCACCTGGGCAAAGGGGGAAAAAAAGGAGGCTCCCCTCTCCTATCCCTCAGACTTTCTTCCATTGTGAATGCTGTGAGTGGAGTCTCTGGCCGTAGGCCTAAGAATATAGAGCTTAAACTTGCTGTCAGTTCAAAGCCTTGGAGAGAATGCAGTATAAAGAAGTACTTCCTCCAAGAACTCTGAACATAGTGAGCCCTCCCTCCCTGGACATGTATAAGTCGAGTCTGGACAAAAAGGAGGAATCTAATCTAGGCATCAGCATAATCTCTTTTAAATGTTTTTTTCCTTTATTGATTTTAGAGAGAGAGGAAATAAGAGGGAGACAGAGATAGAGACATCGATGAGAGAGAACATCGATTAGCCGCCTCCTGCATACTCCCCGCCGGGGATCTGGCCCATGACCTGGGCATGTGTTCTGACCTGGAATCGAACTTGTGACCTCTTGGTGCATGGGTCAGTGCTCAACTGGACAGCATCAGGCATAATCTTAAGGGGCAGACATCACAGGGTGCTGTGTGCTTTTCCCACCAATGCCCCCACATCCCAAAAGCCCAGAAGGGGAAAAAAATGCATCTGTCAGAAACTTGACAGAACTGTCAGCCACATGTGACATGAGCTGCCTACACTGAAACTGAAGGCATCATTCTATTTTATGTTCAATAACAATGAAAAAATGACTTGTCATCAGAAAATAAAAACAAACTCTTGGCGCCCCCACGTGGAGAGATCTGGTGCCACCACCTCCAAGTTACCTGTGACCACAGCCATGCCCCACCTTAGCCCCCAGGGTTGTTCTTGGCCTCTGTGTAAGGAGTGAAGGAAAGGAGGCAAGAAGATGGTTGCTCTGGAAACAGCTTACACTCCAGGAAAAAACCAGAAAGCTGAGAAGCACCAGAGTAGGAAGGAAGAGCCCCAAACCTGAATTCTGTTTCCGTTGTCACCCTGGACTGTACCACCCTGAGAAAATTGCTCCCCTCTCTGGGCCTCAGTTTCCCCATCTGTAAACTGGAAGTTGGGCTGGTGATCTCTATCTAAGGCCCTCTGAGCCTCTGAGCTCAGAACAGCCCACCAGAGGGGAAGCCCAGGCCCCCAGGCAGAGCCAGTGACCTTTGCCCTTAACTACTGCACATACCTAAATTAGTCCTCACACCCATTGGCAACACACCGACCCATTGCAGGGAGCTCTGTGCCAGGCCTTCAGGACAGTGCTGGGTTAATCTCAGAGCCAGTGCCATGCAATCTGTGGTCATAGGGCAGATGGAGAAGGATATGAGACCCAGACACCTGAGAATGATGTGAAAGGCACCCGACAGGAGAGTAGGAAGGAGGCTTCCCAAGCAGGGGAGCATGAAGTGTGTTATGAAAGAGGTGGAATTCAGGCCCTTGATGGATGAGAACTCATCAGTGTAAAGTGTAGAAACAGTGGTGGGCAGGAGGTTGTACCCAGCAGATGGAACAGCTTGAGCCAAGGCCCAGTGGTGGAACCTGTGCAAATGGTGTAGTATGACTGAAACCAGGGTGTGTGCGGGAGTGGAGCAGGTAATGGCGCAGAGCAGTGGCTCCATGCTAGTGGCCTTGGATGCCAGGCCAGGGGACTTAGATGACAAATGGGAGGGTGGGGAGGAACCTGAGCCGTGCTATAAGGAAACAGCTCCCAGACCTTATTCCCTGAAAGTGTCAGTGTCATGTTACATGCCATTTCCTAGGAACATTGCAAAGTCCTTTAAGACAGGTGGCGCTCCGCAGCTTTAGAGACTCAGGAATTCCCACTCCCAGTGAGGCTGGGGAGCCTAAGGGAGGGCAAGTGTGCTGCCCAAGGTCACCCCCCATGACCCTGGATTGGAAGCCCCCTTTGCTGTCCTTGATGTCATATCCACCATTCAGCCTCCTCCCCCCACCCCGCCCCCAGGGCGCATTCTGGCCCAGAGGTGAGGGTCCGGGCCCCTGTAGCAGGACCAGCGGGCCGGGTCGCCGGGGATGGGGTCCAGCGGGCCGACTGGCTCTCTGTCCCGCGCAGTGTGCGCCCCGCACGAGTTCCAGTGCAGCAACCGCTCCTGCCTGGCCGCCGTGTTCGTGTGCGATGGCGACGACGACTGCGGCGACGGCAGCGACGAGCGCGGCTGCGCCGACTCGGCCTGCGGGCCCCGCGAGTTCCGCTGCGGCGGTGACGACGGCGGCGCCTGCATCCCCGAGCGCTGGGTCTGCGACCGCCAGTTCGACTGCGAGGACCGCTCGGACGAGGCGGCCGAGCTCTGCGGCCGGGCCGGCCCGGGGGCCACGTCCGCGCCCGCCGCCTGCGCCGCCGCCGCCCAGTTCGCCTGCCGCAGCGGCGAGTGCGTGCACCTGGGCTGGCGCTGCGACGGCGACCGGGACTGCAAGGACAAGTCCGACGAGGCCGACTGCCGTAAGCCCGCCCCTGTACCGCCCAGCCCCGCGGCCCATGCGCGGCCAGCCAGGCGCACCCTCCGTCCCTTGCCTGCCGGTATTACCCTCTTACTGTGGCGGAGACGGAGCTTGGGAAAAGTGAAGTGACTTGTTTGAGTTCACCTGGCTACTAAGCTGCGGAGGTCTAACAACAGAGGTCAAGGGTCGTCAGTGGTACCCGTGTCCTTGGATGCTGCCCTCCCTGTCACGCCTCCCACCCCTGCCCTTTTCATCCCCAAGCAGTCACCCGCTGATTCCAACAAGGGGAGACCTTAAAACACCCGGGAACTCGCGCCACCCTCCTACCTGCTGGGCCTGAGCTGCTCATCCTTCAAGGCCTTGCCCAGAATCCTCCGACCTTCCCATCTGGGCTGGGTCTCTCCCGTGGGCTCCTGCAGGTCCCTGGGCTGCCCTCTCTTGTAGCACATTCCACATTGTTATGCCGCCAATGTATTCTTCAACCAGCCCCTGCACTCCTGATCTCGAGATCTTAGTCTCTGGGTTCTCATGCCTGGCAAACAGTGGGCATGCAGGAAGGGTTTAGTGGAGGGATGAAGTAATTAAGAGGTGAGCACCAAGACAAAAGAAGGCCATGTGTCCACTCTGGAGAGGCAGTAGAGGGAGAAACGAGACCTGAGTCAGTCCTGGCTCTGCCATCCAGAGTGCTGTGTGACCCTGGGTGAGACCTTCCCCCTCTCTGAGCTTCAGTCTCCCCATCTGTACACTGAAAGTGCCTTGGTCAATTGTCCTTCAAGGACTCCCAAGCTCAGCCACTGGCTCTGTTCTTGCCAGGGGTGGATATGGAGTGGGGGCAGGAGAGCTGTTCCAACACCAGGTTGGCTCTGACCCTCTCCTCTTTCCTCTCCTGGCAGCACTGGGGACTTGCCGTGGAGACGAATTCCAGTGTGGGGATGGGACCTGTGTCCCTGCAAACAAGCGCTGCAACCAGGAACAGGACTGTCCGGATGGGAGTGATGAAGCTGGCTGCCTAAAGGGTGCGTGTGGGCAAAGGCAGAGGGGCAGCATCTTCCATGAGAACCCTGAGTTGTCCCTTAACTCCAGTGGGGAGAGCAGAGTTGGAAGCTGCTTCCTCTTGGTCCCTGAGATACATCTTTCCCCAGAGCATCTGCCCCTAAACCATCTACATCCCCTCCCTGGGGTCCTAGTGGCATCAGAACTAGATTTTTAAGGACTTTCAAAAGCTGAAAGAAGCCTAGAGGGAAATGAAAGGGCACAGAAGGAAGTCCAGCCCCCACCATTTGTCCACATCCAAGCCTCCAGGTGGCTTTCTTCACTAGTTCCCAGACTGAGCAGAGCCTGAGTCCTACTCCCCAGGGAACCCCTTAATTCTCAGATGCTCTTCTGGTCATCACTCACCCCCTTCAGGAGCAGGGACCCCAACCTACTGGTCATCTGGGGAAGTGAGCAGAGAGGCAGCCTCCCCTAACCAGAACCCCTGGGACATAGGTCCTCCCCAGGAAATGGTCAGTCCATCCCTCAGGGTCTCTGTTGAGCTGCCGCTTTTCCCCTACGGGGCCCCTGTACTACCATATAAGATACAGACCCCCGGCCTTCCCAGCTACATGATGCCTGGGCATCCTGATCACCCCTGGGGTCCTGTCCTGTGAGCAGAGCTCCAACCACCCTGCGTTCGGCAGTCTGTCCTGGGCCACCCTCTAGAGATGCCAGGCTGGAGCTCTGCTCACCTCCCATGGGCCCTCCCTGCCGAAGGTCTCACAGGTCTGTCCACTCTCTTGTCTGGCCTGACAGAGTCAACATGTGAGGGTCCCCGCAGATTTCAGTGTAAGAGTGGCGAATGCGTGGACGGCGGGAAAGTGTGTGATTCTCAGAGGGACTGCCGGGACTGGTCGGATGAGCCTCTGAAAGAGTGTGGTACAGTACCTGTCTGCATCCAACTGCTGGACTAACCCTCCCTCCACGCCCCTCCTGGCAGCGAGGCCAAGGCCCTCACCTGCCCCTTGGCACATGTTCCACTCTGACCGTCTCTGGGCTCTTGCACTGTCCTGTGGCCTCTGACAGAGCTCTTTGCCTTTGGGGCCTCTTGTTCTGCATCTTTACAAATATAAGGGCCTTTCCTTTCCAGCCCAGATGCTCAAAGATTATGCTTCCTCTCACAAACCCAGACTCTACTCCTCACTCCTTCCACATTCAGGCCTCTGTGTGTGTGCTCACTCTGGAACCTCCTCTCTTACTCAGTGTTTCTGCCCTGCTGACCTAGCCGGGGCCCTGGCCTCAGGCCTTCCACACCCCCACAGGAGAGACAGGTGGGGAATGGCAGGCATGTGGCCAGGTGAAGCACATGCCAAGGTCACCTGGCTCAGGCCAGGCCTGGGTGAGGGAGGACAGAACCAGCAGCAGAGGGTGGCATCATCCTGAGCCCCAAGGAGCTTCGACTTTCCAGGACCCAGACTTACAGGCTGGACAAGAGTGAGGAACAGAAGGGGATGGCTGCCCTGACGGCTAGAGCTGGCAAGAACAGGAGAGTCTGGGCTGTAATTGGGGTGGGCATCCCTGAGAACATGCAGAAAACCCAGTGTGGGCTCCAGAAACATTCATTTTTGAGGTCAGAGGTTTGGACAGAATTCCTGGGAGGACAGAGCCTAGGTCAGACCTCCCTCCGTACCTTCCTGGCAGACCCATTTTCATCCAGTGCCCCTCCTGGGCACTCAGAGGAGCTTCATTCTCTGGAGCACCATAGGAACTGCATGTTTCTGTCCCTGTTGAAGATTTTTAAATTGATTTTGAAAGGAAGAGTAGTTGGGTGAGGGTCACAGCCTGCACCTGAGCTTGCAGGTGACAGACTGCCCCCCACCCCCAAGGCCCTGCCAAGAAAAGTCCTGGAAGGAACCTGTAGAAGAGAGGATAAGGAAGGGGAGCAGTGAGCCCCGCCCCACCCCACCTCCACCCAGACTTGGAGTTAGCCAGGGCCTACTAACCTGCTTAACTCTCTTCTCTCTCATCTTTTGCATGACACGCCAAAGAGAAGTATGTACGCATGTGTTTGTGTCTCTGTGCTGGTGAGAGGCCAGTATCTGTATCCATGGCTCCTTCTCTGAGTCAGGCAAGGGAACTGCATCACGTGTCTGTGTGTGTTCCCACGTCTGTGTGAATGTCTGTGCAGCCCACAGGCCTGTCTGTGCCACTGCACGTGAGCTGATGTGTGTGCATGCAGGTGTGTGCATGTGCTGGGAAAGGGACACTGCCCTTCCTTCCATGGGGGACAGGTGCTGCTCAGGCCTCTCTGGACCACTTGCCCCCTCCTCCCCTGCAGGCCCCCCTGAAGAACGAATCACCTCCAGGCTAATAGAACTGGGAAGGCCCAGAGATTCCCCTTCAGCCTCCACCTTGGTGCTAGCCTTCCAGGGAAGGGTTGATAGGGATAGATAGGTCCAGGCCTGCTACCCATTCTCACCCTGACCACCTCAGCCCTGGGAGACGTTCCCCCTTCCGAGCCATCCTACACATGCCATTCCACCAGCGTTCAGTAAATACAAGTGCTGAGTTGCTGCTACCTACAAATGGAGAGGGAGGGAGGGAGTGGGTGCATGAATGAAGCAGGGAGAGAGTGGGCGAACAAATGAATGGATGGTGCTGAGGGAATAATATGGCATGGGAGAGGTCAGGGAGGGCTTAGAATGACAAAAAGATTCCTGGAAGTGGTGCCCCACAAAGATCACCCCAAAGGTACCATGGTTCAGCCCACGCCAAGGGGCTGGGGCTTCCAGGGCAGGCCTGGTTGAATCACCCCAGCCCCCTTGTTCATGGGGTTGCTGTGGTCTTGTTTTTTCAGTTCGGCCAGCATCTCAGGGAAACAGGAGGAGGCCCAGGGGTAAAGGGGAATGAACTTTCCCTAAGCATGGCTTAGGCTGGAGCTGGGGTACCCACAGCTGTGCATGGCCTGGGGTAGGCAGCTCAAACCATCTGTTTGCATGGCCATGGCTGGCTCAGCTCGGCTCGGCTTGGTTTGGCTTGGCTGGAGTGGCGGTGCATGAGCCTGGAGGGCAGAGGGGTGGTATAGCACCTTCCTTGGCTTGCAGAATTAACCTTCTGTGATTCTAAAGCTCAGAAGATGCTGTGAGAACTTGGTGAGCCTGGGTCCTGGCCTCTCTGACCTCCTGTAGGACCCTGCCAGAAGGTGATGAGGAAGTGGATGACCTCCTGGCATCCCTTCATTCCTAGTAGCAGTTGGTAATCCTGGGACCAAGCCTGTGACTAAGTGTAGAAATAGCCAGATGCTGAGAGGGAGGTGAGAAATACTTCTCATCGTAGGAGAGAAGTGACTTAGCAACAGCTCTGTGTAGATACAGGCCTGGAGCCTTAGATAACCACCAGCCAACACAGAGAAGACTGCTCAGACGTCAGCAAGGTGGGCTGGCTCTAGGCTCTGTCCAGAGCGGGACATGGACAAATGGAGTATATCCACAGAAAGGTACCTGGTTGGTAGGGGGTCAGAAAGCAGCGCTTTGAGGATATTCTGAGGCAGCCATTAGACTGGTCAGCCGCACACACAGCTGGGAGCGGGAGCAGACACTACAGGGCGGCTGATCTGTGAGGAAGAACCCTGTTCCAGGTGGAGCCAGTGCCTTGGGGGGAGTGGGCTTCTGAGGCTGGAGAAGTTGAAGCAAGGGCATTTCAGAAGGGTTTACTGGGGTGTCCTGAGGGCTAAATGTAATACATGCAGGCCCCTTCAACCGAGGTCATGAGGAAGGAGGAGCTGAAGAAACGTGTTTGTGAAAGGAAAAACCTTTGGCAGCCTAGCTGCCTCCAGCCTGGCAGTGGACAGAACCGTGGCCTGGGAGGCAAAGGACCTGAGTTCTGGTTCCACTCTGTCCCTGTCTGTGTGTCTGGCCTTGAGCAAGGACCGCCCCTCTCTGACCCACCTCTTGCCTAGTCATCTGGTTAATGAGGCTGAGGCTCAGTGAGGCCACAGAGCATCCTGGTTCGATGGGAGTCCCGCTGCCCTGAGTCTCTGCTTCAGCTTGGGCCCACCCCCGTCTGGCCCCCACCCTAGGCTGGGCTCCTGGACCCTCAGGAGCCCATGTCCCTTTCTAGGGCTGAACGAGTGTCTGCACAACAATGGTGGCTGCTCCCACATCTGCACTGACCTCAAGATCGGCTTTGAGTGCACCTGCCCAGCGGGCTATAGGCTCCTGGACCAGAAGACCTGTGGCGGTGAGACCCTCCCCTCATGCCCTCAAGCAGAAGCAGATCCTCCTGCCAGTTCTGACCTCTGCTCCTCCCCACAGACATTGATGAGTGCGAGGACCCAGATGCCTGCAGCCAGATCTGTGTCAATTACAAGGGCTACTTTAAGTGTGAGTGCCACCCTGGCTACGAGATGGACACACTGACCAAGAACTGCAAGGCTGTCGGTATGGACACCCCAAGGTGTGCGGAGGGAGGGGAAGCTCTGAGGAAGTATAGAAAGCAGTGTGCACACACAGTGCTCAGAGTTTACATACACACTGCACTGCACACTAACACCCACACGGACACTACACAGAAGCTGCCCAGTACAGCCCCTTCTCTCCATTCTCACTGGCTCTACCCTCCTGCAGACCCCTTTATTTCTCACCTGGATGCAGTCAACAGCCTCCTAACCAGTCTCCCTGCCTTCATTCCCTCCCTTTCCAACCCATCTCATAGTCCACAGCTGCCACAGTGACCTAACATGCCTATCTGACCGTGTCCTCTGGCCTGTTCGGTTATCTGTGCCAGGATAAAACCCCAACTCATGGAATGCAGAGCCCATCGGATATGGTCCCTTCCTGCACTTATTTCCAGTCTTATACTCCACCTACCCAGCTCTACCCTAACTGAATACCTCACCTTATTCAGTATTCCGGAACACACACCTCTGGGCCTTGGCACATGCTCTTTGTGTTTCTAGTGAACCGGTCCTTCGGGACTCAACTACAGAGCCTTCTGCATCCTTCCAGGATGATGTAGTAGTCTCCATGTCTCTGCTGCTATAGCCTGAATATATTCTGAAATCACATTATATTGTAATTATCTGGCTATAAATGTCTCCTCCACTAAAATGAGTTCCTCTGCCCTGACCAGTTAGGCTCAGCGGTTAGAGCATCGGCCTGCAGTCCAATGAGTCGTGGGTTCGATTCCAGTCAAGGGCACATACCTTGGTTGCGGTTCGTCCCCAGCCCTGGTCAGGTCATACAAGAGGCAACCAGTTGATGTGGCTCAACAGTAGCCAGGAATGTCTAGGCCACTGCTAATATTCCTAAAATCTAAAGTCCATAAATGGGTTTTGTGTGTACATGGGCAGTTGTGTGTTGTCCTCATTGCACATACATAATCTGTGTCATATATTACACACATCCCATCCCTATTGGCTCAGAATAAAGTGCAAACTCTCCACCCAGGACACTTCATGGTCTGGCCCCTGCCAGCCTCTGCAGCCTTATCTCTTGCCATGTCCCCAAGTACACCCTGCACAAACTAAAGACCCACAGTGACCTCCCTGAATCTCCTCCCTCTAGTCTTACCCCAGCTCTGAGGTCTGTCCTCCATACTGAAGCCTCAGGCATCTTTCTAAAACACTTAATGCTCAAGTTGCTCTTTCTTGAGCTACAGTGGGGCCCGAAACAGAGGAGGTGGTGGTTGCTGCAGAGAAATGCATTCTGGGTAGAGGGGACAACCTGAGCAAAGGCCCTGAGGCAGCAGAGCTCTGCCATGCTAGGCAGAGACATAGTCTGGTGGCTGGATCAAGGTGTGCTGGAGGGGTGAGTGATGAGGCCAGACAGGGAGCTTGGGGTTACACTGCCTTCAGTACAAACCTAAGGAGGAAGTGGGGACTCATAAAAGATTTGGGGGAGTTTGTATCTAATAAAAAGATGAAAAATCCTTATGTGTGGTACTTTCGCATCTTATGCTTTTTGTAACAATTGTTTCATCTGCTCCTCTAATCTGTGAGGTAGGACTTGTCACCTCTGTTCTGCAGGAAAATGAGGTATCACCAGCACACCAGTGGCAGAGCCTTGGTCTCCACTTTCCCGCCTTTTGCACTGACCCTTTCTCTCTCAACCCCCCTGCATGGCAGCTGGCAGAAGCCCGTCCCTAATTTTCACCAACCGACACGAGGTGCGGAGGATAGACTTGGTGAAGCGGGACTACTCACGCCTCATCCCCACGCTCAAGAACGTCGTGGCGCTAGATGTCGAAGTTGCCACCAATCGCATTTACTGGTGTGACCTCTCTTACCGCAAGATCTACAGGTGAGCAGTGGCAGGTGTTTGTCAGCCAGGCCTTGGGGGGTGGGGGCTGACAGAGTTGGGGCTTAGGAAGGGACATAGAGTCATGGTGGCTATGGAACTGCCGGACTTCACCCTCTGGACTGGCATGGGCTGTGGGCTCTGTTGGGAGAGCAGCTTTGAGCTCCATACTCCTGGGCTTTGACTGACCTCTGGCGGCCTAGTGGGGGCAGTGCAAGACCCGGAAAAACGTTCAGTCAGAGCAGAAAGGAAGAAATCCCTGGCTTTGGTGAGGACTTTCAAAGCAGCTCACATTGTCTGTGTGTTGGATCCTGAGGACTCAAAGATGACTCAGACTGCCTGGAGGATCCATTCATAACACAGTGGCATACATTGTGATGACCATGAGTGGAAGTACAGAGGAGGCCTCTGACATCATCTGGGGGGTCAGGGAAATCTTCCTGGATGCAGTACCCCCAGTCCAGCCCTTCACTGTGTCTGTGATGCCACAGTCAGTGGACTTTGGCTCTCAGGAAGGGTCCTCACAAAGTTCTTTCCTTGTTCTTTCTCAGATGCCACAAACCTACCTCCCTGTGTGTCCTGCCCGTTTTGGGCAGTGACAGCCTTTCTTTGTCCTGAGGTCCATCCACTTAGCAGATCTGCCAATGACCAGGCACTGGGGAGACTACTGAAAGATGCTGGGATGGATGGGTGGATGGGCAGATGGAGGATGGGTAAAAACAAATATACCAAGTGCTACTCACTGACAACTCAATGCCCACCCCCCACCCCCCACCACAAGGAGACTCACTTAGTTCACACTCACACACACACACAGAAACAATGAGCACAGTACTTGTCCAACAGTTACTGAAATAGGCAGGATTTGATGACAGACGATATGGGGCTGAGGAGGGAGAATCCAAATGAACCCACTCCCAGGTTCATTTTGGGAACCATTCTGGTTCAGGAGGTGCTGTGGACAGTGCTGTTCTCTGAGGTGGGAGCTGCGGAGGAGAATGGAGGAGGGTGGGTTGGGCAGTCTGGCTGGCTGGGTGGGGGGAATGGAGATGAGGAGTCTGGTTGTGTTGAGTTTAAGGTATCCATGGACATCCGAGGCGGGGCCAGTTGGCTGTACAGTCTGGAGCTTGAGAGACTGGTCGGGATGGAGAGTCAGAGTTACGGATGGCAGTGGGCTGTGGAACTAGGTACCCAGAGAAAGATTATGGGGGAGAAGAAAACCTTGGGAGAAACAGCATTTGGGAGATAGAGAATCCTGTTAATGTTGCCTCCTGAGTGTCTACTGTGTTTCAGTCCCTTCTCTCCATTCTCACTGGCTCTACCCTCCTGCAGACCCCTTTATTTCTCACCTGGACGCAGTCAACAGCCTCCTAACCAGTCTCCCTGCCTTAATTCCCTCCCTTTCCAACCCATCTCATAGTCCACAGCTGCCACAGTGACCTAACATGCCTATCTGACCGTGTCCTCTGGCCTGTTCGGTTATCTGTGCCAGGATAAAACCCCAACTCATGGAATGCAGAGCCCATCCGGATATGGTCCCTTCCTGCACTTACTTCCAGTCTTATACTCCACCTACCCAGCTCTACCCTAACTGAATACCTCACCTTATTCAGTATTCCGGAACACACACCTCTGGGCCTTGGCACATGCTCTTTGTGTTTCTAGTGAACTGGTCCTTCAGGACTCAACTACAGAGCCTTCTGCATCCTTCCAGGATGATGTAGTAGTCTCCATGTCTCTGCTGCTATAGCCTGAATATATTCTGAAATCACATTATATTGTAATTATCTGGCTATAAATGTCTCCTCCACTAAAATGAGTTCCTCTGCCCTGACCAGTTAGGCTCAGCGGATAGAGCATCAGCCCGTGGACCAATGAGTCGTGGGTTCGATTCCAGTCAAGGGCACATACCTTGGTTGCAGTTCGTCCCCAGCCCTGGTCAGGTCATACAAGAGGCAACCAGTCGATGTGGCTCTATCACATCCATGTTTCTCTCTGTCTCTCTCTCTTCCTTCCTCCCACTCTATCTGATAATAAGTAGAAAAATATCCTCAGGTGAGGAATTAAAAAAAAAAAAATTTATTAAGCCCAGCCAGTGTGGCTCAGTAGTTGAGCACCAAGAGGTCGCTGGTTCGATTCCCAGTCAGGGCACATGCCCAGATTGTGGGCCAAACCCCCAGTAGGGGGCATGTAGGAGGTGACCAATCAATGTTCTCTCTCATCAATGTTTCTATCTATCTCTCCTCCCTTCTTTTCTCTCTAAAAAATAAATAAAAAACCTAAAAATAAAAAAGATAAAATGAGCTCGTCTGGGCTAGAGGCCATGGCTGATTCCAGCCTGTATGCTTACCCTGGTGGCCCAGGGGATGTGTTGAACAGAAATTAGCTAAGCTCCTCCAGAATCCTCCGCCATAGCCCAGAGGGAAGAGAGAGGAGAAGGGTGCACAGGCAGCTCAGAGGGATGCGTGGGTAGAACACCTGCCCGATGGCCAGCTCTGGTTGCTCCTAGCGCGTACATGGACAAGGCCAGCGACCCGGCCGAGCAGGAGGTCCTCATCGACGAGCAGCTGCATTCTCCAGAGGGCCTGGCAGTGGACTGGGTCCACAAGCACATCTACTGGACTGACTCGGGCAACAAGACCATCTCAGTGGCCACAGTCGATGGTGGCCGCCGATGCACCCTTTTCAGCCATGACCTCAGTGAACCCCGGGCCATCGCTGTGGACCCCCTGCAAGGGTGAGTCTCCCACCGTAGGCACAGTCACGCAGTGGTCATGTGTCTGTCACAAGAGCTTTCTTGAGGGCTTTAAACACAGCACACGGGAAGAAAGTCTGTGCGGGCCCCTCAGCCTATTAACCCCCAACCAAGGGTCCTCTGGGCACTGGTCATCAGGGTTCTCTGGGACTCTCTCGCTAGCTTATATACTAGAATAAGAGCATCTCAGAACAGGGCAGGCTGAGAGACTGCTTTGTGGAAGCTCCTGGGCAGGACGTCTGTGCTCACAGTGCAGGTGGACACCTGGTGGCTGCGCACACACTCTGACGGGCTCGTCACTGCCCCTGGGGACAGTTCTGCCTGCCAGAAAGTTTTTTGTTTTGTTTTTTTTTTGTTTTCTCATACTCCCAAATCTGCCTCCCGTTGACTTCCTCCATAGCCCTGATGTAAGTACGTGAGGTGAAACCGCTTAGCCCAGCGCCTGGCACATAGTAAGTGTTCAATAAATGTTCAAGAAAAAAGGGAAGCCCTGAAAGTTCTAGCTGTATGGCCCTGGTAGATCATCCACTTTCTCCTCTGTGGACCGGGAAAATGAGAGAGAGTGGACATGGGCCCTTTCCATTCTGGCATGTTGGGGTTATAGCTGGAGCTGCTGGGAGTGAGAGATGGGCACCTGACTATCCAGCAGAGGCTGGGTGGACACTCGGGGAACACAGGCTTCCCAGGACTCAGATGAGGTGAAGGCTAAAGCGCCTGCTAACTCTAAGGTTAATGGATCCAGTGGGTTTCAGAGGTCTTCCCAGTCCTCACTAAGCAAATGTTCAACATTCAGTGGGTTGTTAAGCCCTCGTGATCCAGACCGTCCCAATCACATCCTGACAAGAAACCCTATTGGGTTCTTCTCTCTTTTAGGTTTATGTATTGGTCTGACTGGGGGAACAAGGCCAAGATTGAGAAGTCTGGGCTCAACGGTGTGGACCGGCAAACCCTGGTGTCAGACAATATTGAATGGCCCAACGGAATCACCCTGGGTGAGCCCTGCCCTCCCTAGATTGGGGGCTGTTCTAGCACCTGGTCCTGACCACTGTCCTGAGCCCCATGGACCTTGTTTCTGCATCCCCCTCATAGTGCCAGTGCTTGTGTTTCCTGATGGTTGCCCCCAGGATGGCCTCAGTTGGAGGCCTGACCTGGAGACATGGGCAGGGAGGGGGCAGAAGACCAGATCTAGGCTGTGGTCCCAGGCTCGTGACCTGATGCCCTATCCCCTTCATCTCCCCAAGATTTGCTGAACCAACGCTTATACTGGGTGGACTCCAAGCTGCACCAGCTGTCCAGCATCGACTTCAGCGGAGGCAACAGAAAGATGCTGATTTCCTCCCCTGACTTCCTGAGCCACCCTTTTGGGATAGCTGTGTTTGAGGTGAGCCCTGCGAGGGGAGGCATGGCCCCATCAGGAAGCCAAAGCCCAAAAAAGGTTTGTTCAGATGGGATGGCTCCTAGAGCTGTCCAAATGGAAACAAAGGGACAGGGAGGCCAACTGACATGTCTGTGCACGGGGTGAGCTGCCGCCACGCAAAGGCTTTGCAGCCCGTTGTCCACCTGGCAGCTCTCCTGTGCTCCCTTCCCAAGACCACTCTCTCAGAGCACTGCTCAGAGGTAAGTTGCTAGACCATGTATGTCTTCTCTTGGAACTCTCAGCACCCAGCACTGTGCCCACATATACAGAAGGTACCCAATAAAGGGAGGGAGGGAGGGAGGGAAGAAGGAATCTTTATTTCCTTACAATCATTCATTGTTGGAAGTGGCCTGAGAGATACTGTGCAACTCAGCACACTTTTACTGACCTTTTCTGGATCTTGGGGTCATAGAGGTGAATCAAACATCGTCCCCATCCAAGCTCCCAGGAGGGTGAGAGTTGAGACCCTCCTGTGTTCTGACCCTAACAACCTTTCTCCTCTGGGAACAAGGAAGCGAAAACCAACCAAGGTCTCACACACCTACCTCTTCCCAAAAACTAACTCTGCCACTGGGGCGGGGGAGGCAAAGGGACAGTGGTCTGTGGTGGGCATTGGCAATATTTGCTTGGAGCGACGTCACCCAGCAATGCTCTGAATTTATGGGCAAAGCCCCACCTGCAAATTCAGCCCCTGCTTCAAATGACAGGTGTGTTCGGACACATGTATGTACTTGTGCATATTTGTGGCACGTATGTGTAAAATATATGTATGTGCATATGTGTACATGAATGAATTTAAAAGCATGCATTCTTTGCCCTGGCCAGTGTGGCTCAGTTGTTCGGAGTGTCATCCTGTGCACTGTAAGTCGCAGGTTTGATTGCTGGTCAGGGCACATACCTAGGTTGCAGGTTCAGTCCCCAGTCAGGGCAGGTACAGGAGGCAACCAACCGATGTATCTCCCTCACATCAATGTCTCTCTCTCTCCCTAGCCCTCTCCCCATTTCTTCCTCTCTAAAATCAATTTAACAAAAGGAAAGCATGCATTCCTGTATATGCCGGTGCTTGTGTGTGTAAATATGTATACCAGTACTTAGACAAGTGCTTCTTTAGGTACAAGTGTGTCTTTATGTGTGTGGATGAGCATGCGGGTATGTGCCCAGACCTGTGCATGAGGCGCGTGTTGAGCCTGTCACTGTGGACATGTCCGCAGATACACAGCCAGGCTTGCATGGACTAACCACTGCATGCACATGCGTTACACCCAGAGGCTGTAGGAGGCCCAGCAAGGAACAGTCCTCAGCAGCCCACATATTCCCTCCAATCATGGTCCTGGGCCCCAGAAATGGTAACAACTAATAGAGACCCAACTTGGGTTTCTGCTGGGCCCCAGGAAGCAAGGCCTAGCTAAGCATTAATGAGCAGCCTCCAGGCCAAAGCACAAAATCACCGAATAACCCTCTGAGACAGAAGGGAGCCAGAGCACATGCCACAGGTCAGAGGCTGAGTCCCACTGTGAATCTGTGGACAGGAGAGCTCAGTGGAGATGGCAGGGCAGCTCTTATGACTATGGTTTGGGGCTGAACCCTCAGATTGAGGTCATGGGTTTAGGCTCTAGGCCTCCCATCCTTTGTATCTGTATCCCACAGGACAAGGTGTTCTGGACAGACTTGGAGAATGAGGCCATTTTCAGCGCAAATCGGCTCAATGGCCTGGAAATCGCCATCCTAGCAGAGAACCTCAATAACCCACATGACATTGTCATCTTCCATGAGCTGAAGCAGCCAAGAGGTGAGCCTTCCCTGGCCCCAGGTCCCCTGCCCATGTCCTCTCCAGGCTGGTTCACGTTCACGCAGCGTCGTGTCTTGACGCCCCAGGAATAATGGCAGCAATCCCTCTCATCTGTAGAGGGCTTTGCTGTCACATATTTTATTTCATTTTGCCTCAAGCAAGCTCTTGGTGAAATAAGCCTGGGTATAAAGAAATAAATGTATAAATTGCCTCTTTTTGCTAATCCTACAGAGTGCGGGTATTACTGTTCTCATTTAACAATTGAGGAAACTGGTTCAGAGGTAAAATATTGTTAGCAGGTAGCAGAACTAAAATCTAAAATCGGATTCCAGGGCTCTTTCTGCTGTGAGGAACACATTGCTTCTCATTTATTATTTGTACCCATTAGACAGAAGTATAAACGAATGTATCCTAGGGCCAGATAGTAATTCAGTGTGTTGGCTGGGAATAGAAGCCAGGAATCCTACCACCTGGTTTTCCCCTCTTCTTTCACTGGGATATACTGAGTCTAACTAACAGAGTTGGCTGCCAGGATGAAGGTGAGAAAGCACAGGGAGGAAAGGAGATAAGCTTGGTGCCTGATTCTAGATCTGGAGATTATATAAGAAAGAGAAATGGCATGTGGCATAGGGGGGATAACATGGACTTTAGAGTCCAACAGACCTCAATTTAAATTCTTTCTCCAAAGTTCTTAGAGTACAGCTTTGACAAGTTTATTCTTTTTGTGGGCCTGGGTGTCTTTTCTCTATCAATCTGTGGCATAATACCCACCTCCAAGAGCTGCTGTCAGGAGTAAATGAAAGTGTGGGGACAAAACACCAGGTACGGTGCTGGAAGGTGCCTCCCTCTCCCTCCCTCCCACTAGCTGGAGATGCCTGCGAGCTGAGCGCCCAGCCCAATGGAGGCTGTGAGTACCTGTGCCTTCCTGCTCCTCAGATCTCCAGCCACTCTCCCAAGTACACGTGTGCCTGTCCCGACACAATGTGGCTGGGCCCAGACATGAAGAGGTGTTACCGAGGTAAGCGGACCTATCAGGAGGGGTGGCCCTGGCCATGCCCGACCCCATCCTGCAGAAAATCCTCCCTTGGCTTCCGGGACACTTGTATGCTCCTGGTTTCTCTGCATTTGCTCTAGCTACCTGCCTTTGCAGTCTCCTCTTTTTTACCTTCCTTGAATGCTGGTGTCCCCCAGGGTCCTTACAAGGCTTTCCTCTTCTCACTCACCCCAAAAGTCACATATACAGACAACATTTTAAATTCACTTTCAGGGGCTTTCTGGAACCCCTTCAAGACTTCAAATTAAGAACCTTTGATCAGCCTTGGCCAGGTAGTTCAGTTGGTTAGAGCATCATCCCAATATGCCAAGGCTGCGGGTTTGATCTCCAGTCAGGGCACATACAAGAGTCAACCAATGAATGCGTAATATGTACAAAAAATCAGTACATTTAAAAAACAAAACAATGTTGATCCTCATGGCTTTAGTCGCTGTTTATATGCAGGTGACTGTAAGCTTGCCTATTTCTTGCCAGAACTTAATACACTACATAGAAGCCCTTTTGTGACATGATTGGGACTAACAGGTAATACTTCAACCATATAAATTTATATTCTTTCCCCAATCTTGCTGCAGGGTCAAAGCCTTTTGTTTGAGCATAAGTCTGCTGCATCATTTATGATTTCCAGATTCAACTGTTTAAAGTGGAGAACTTAAACCTAATGGTATAACAGTATGCTTGTAAAAGCCTTCTAGATTTTTATGATTTCCCTCCTCCCAGACTTTTACAGTGGTCTTGCCCACACCTAATTCTACAGTCTTGTTTTAATAACTCACCTTTATCAAATCAGCACGCAGTTTAAACACAGACATAGTGCTTGGGATTCAGCTAAGGAAAAGCTCACAGCCCGTTCAGGAGGATTAGGGAAGGCTTCACAGAAATGGCATTTGAGCTGAGCCATGAGGATAAGTTCATAAGTTCATAAGTTCATAGACAATCATTTAGGCACTCAATCAACAAAATTCTCTGTCCAAGTGACCTCCGTGGTATTTCCCCTCCAGCACCTCAATCTACCTCAATGACGACGTTAGCCTTGACCACGATGAGGACAGTAGCTGACTCCACAGGAGCCCCTGGGACCACCATCCACAGCCCCACCTACCAGAACCACAGCACAGAGACACCACGCCTGGCAGCTGCAGTCCCAAGCTCCATTAATGCCCCCAGGGCTTCCAGCATCAGCCCGGCTACCCCAAGCCCTGCAACCAGCAACCACTCCCAGCACTGTAAGGAAATGAGTTCTGCCATCTTTCATGATATGGGAAGCCATGGTGTGGGAATATGTGGGAAGGAGAGACGATACCAGAGCTGAATGTTGGATATCTGAGGAAGAAGCCAAGGGAGGTAGAGTACCCACCTGCGATTTAGGAGTCTTAGGTGCCCCTAACTTACAGAGGGTCTTGAAGGAAGCTATTTCCTGTCTCTGAGCCTCAGTTTCCTCTCCTACAAAGTGGAATAGTAATAACCCTTTTCCTCCCTGCTTCACAAGATCGCCAGGAGAGGCAAAGGAGACAGTGTAAATGGAAGTGCTCACACACACCACCTCTGCTCTCTGGGCATGTGTCTGTGTCACATGTCACTGACATGTACATATAAGGGAGTGTCCCTTGGATTTGGAAACTTCAAAAGCTCTGGTCTCAGTTCTCAGCACCCTCGGTAGGTTCCTCAGATACTAATATCCACGACCAGTCTGCTCATGCCTCTTCCCAAACCCTGGGATGAAAGTAATTAGGTTCACCACTTACGAAATCATCAGGAGCAGTAATTATCACTGCTAGAAAAGTTCTCTCATTAACCAGCAAATACCTCTTTAATTGAGTTACCTGCCAAGGGGAGTTTATTTACAAGGATAAACTTTCCCATACCTGCATGGCCCAGAAACCCAGCAGCTCGGCAGCACCTTTCTAACTGGGTCTGCCCTCCCAGCAGTCACTGGGTTTTCAGAGTTGAGCACCTACCTGGAAGTTTGAGAGGCAGGTGGGACACGTGTGCCTTCCAGTTCCGCGTATCCGGGACAGAGCCTCTGGGCAGGGGTGCCCCGGCTGCATCGTGCTCTGGGCTGTAACACTGCGGTCGGCGTTTGCTCGGCCCCGAGGGGGAGGGCAGCCGTGCCACGGTGGCTTTGTAAGCAGCGCCGCTCTTTTCTCCCCTGAGTAACTAGGCGCCCTTAGAGTTACTAGGAGAAACACACACTGAGAGGTTGGCCTCTGGGCCACTGCTGGGGCAGTCCTCTCCTCTCTTGGGGCAAAAGCAGATGACAACTTCTCTTCATGCTCAGAACTGTCGTGAGGATCCGGGGGGATGCCTTCTGAACTACCAAGTGCTGTACAGATATCACAATGAAGATGGTTGTAAGAGTGAAAAAGATGACAACATATGTTTTAAAAATGACAGTTCACCTTCCAAGCACTTTTCAGTTTAGAATGTGCTTCATATACCCTATTTTATTTAGACTTTACAACAACTACCCCACTCCCTACCCTCTTTGAACAGGGCAAGGCTGTGCCAGGCACTGTGCTAAGTAAGCATTTTACATAAATCATCTCATTTAATCTTTACAATCTCCCTAGGAGGTAGGTAATATCATTATCCCCATTTTAAAGATAAAGAAGTATATTTATACTATATAACTTGCCCATGATCACTCAAATAGTGAGTAGTAGAGCTGGACTTGAACCTAAGAAGTCCAACCCAGGAGCCTGTGCTCTTGATTCCACTACATGATATTGTGTCCCATTTTAATTACTTCTTAAAAATAAACTGATAATGCAGATGGACAGACAGACCACCAGAAACAAGAGACATCATCCTGCAAATGTTTGTATTTTGCAGATGGGAATGAAGGTGGCAAGATGGGCTCAACAGTCACAGCTGCTGCCATTGGGATCCTTGTGCCCATGGGTGAGTGTGGTCCCATGTCACTGGGGAGAAGAGAGAGACCCTGCCCCGGGTCTGGGGAAAGCACTAGAAGGATAGAGCACTTAGCATGCTGACCTATCCCGCTGACCTGTCTCTGCCCTGGCAGCCTTCTTGCCCACCTCCCAGTCCTGATTTAATTTGGTTTCTTAGCTTGGCACTGAGAAGCCCTTTAGGACCTGGCCCCAGGCAACCATCCGGATGCACCCCCATAACCCATTCATTCACCCTTGCATCCAGCCACAGGAAGCTGAACTGTAGGCTCCATGGGACAGGGTAGCGTCTCGTGCTCGCGCTCTCCCCAGCTCCTGGCACTGTCTGGCACATGGTAGGAAATACAATATTTATTGACTTCGTGAGTAGAGCTACTTGCAGTTGCTTCAGTCATGCCATCCTGCTTGCTTTCTGTTTGGTTTTCAATAAACATTTATCAAGCAGCTACAATGTACCAGACTCTGATTAGGGGAAGGAAAGTGGTTAAAAGTGGGTAAGACGTGGCTCCTCTCCTCCAAGGTTATAGGCTTGTCATAACTCAGATCATTTGATTGTGACATGGTATGCCGTAAAATTAAGCCATATGTAGTTTAGTGGAAGTGCCAAGGAGGCATTTAACTTAGAACTGGGAGAGAAGGGAGGCAGGCAGGGAAGGTTTCCTAGTGGAAGTTATATTTGAGCTGAGTCAACCAAGTGAAGAAGGATCAAGGAGTAACAAGCAGTGAAGACAGCATGAGCAAAGCCAGGAATGGGAAATGGCACGGGGGAAAGGGGTGGAACTAGAGGAGCTCAGTATGGCCAGAATATGTAACATTTGGTTAAATCTCACCAAGAAGCCCAGGGGCTGATCCAGTCTCTCCCACCTCGCTGTTCAAATGGTATCCTGAATATCCTGTCTCTCATACCTGTGTCACCTCTTGTCAGGATCTTTGGATTGTGATTGTCAGTTCATAGTTTTATCTCTCTTACTTACCCAAGAGTAGTACCTCAAGGACAAGGGCTTTGCCCACTTATCCTGGGAATCCCCAATATGGTGGTGACTTAGTGAGTGAATGTTTTTTAAAAAATTCTACACTGAGCCAGGGACTGTGTCAAGTGCCAAGGATCCAGGGAAGAAAAAGAGACTTGAAGAGGTTTCAGTCCTTGCCCTTGTTGGAGTGGCTCAGTTGGTTGGATGTCATCTCATGCACCAAAAGGTGGAGGGTATGATTTCCGGTTGGGGCACATACCCAGGTTGTGGGTTTGATCCCCAGAGGAGAATACAGGAGGCAACTGGTCGATGTCTTTCTCTCACATTAATGTTTCTCTCCCTCTTTTTCCCTCTCCCTTCCTCTCTCTCTCTAAAATCAATAAAAACACATTTTAAAAAAAGAGCTTTCCGTCCTTAATCAGACTTAGTCATAAAAAAGTGATTACAGCCCTGGCCAGTGTGACTTGGTTGGAGTATTGCCCTATACACCAAAAGGTGGCGGGTTCAATTCCTGGTCAGGGCACATAACCAAGTTGGGGATTCGATCCCCAGTCAGAAGTGCAGAAGGCAACCGAAACCCATGTTTCTCTTTCATGTCGATGTTTCTCTAAAATTGATTTTTTTATTTTATTTATGTATTTATTTATTTATTTATTTTTATCCTCACCCGAGGACATTTTTCCATTTTTTGTTCAGATAGAGTGGGAGGGAGAGAGAGGAAGAGAGAGACAGAGAGAGAGAGAAACATCGACGTGAAAGGGACACATCGAGTGGCTGCCACCCGCACGACCCAACCAGGGCCGGGGACAAACTGCAACCGAGGTACGTGCCCTTAGCGGGAACCGAACCCGGGTCTCTGGACCACAGGTCGACGCTCTAACCGTTGAGCCAAACCGGCCAGGGCTAAAATTGATTTTTTAAAAAGTTAAAAAAATTTTAAGTGATTATTAAATCACTTAAAGAGGTATTAATGCATATTATGTGCTGTAATAGGGGTGTCATGCCCTGTGGAGGAGAGGGAATGGCACTTCTGGAGAAGATGGCATTGAATTGGCCTTGAAAGGGGTTCAACAGTAAAGATGACAGTGAGGCTGTTCCAGACTTATATTGAGTGGAGTGAGTGGGAAATGCTCTGAGTGTTGTTCAGTGAAAGAGAAATCAACCCCTTTCCTGGCATCCTCTGCTCTGCAGAAGGGCATGTGTGTGCTGTTTCCTTGACAACAATCCACTCTGATATAATCAATATTTTAAATTTCTGCTAATCGGAGGGGTGAAAGATGAGTATTCTTTCCCTGATATTTTTCTGTCTCATAAGCTTATTGGCCATTTATATTTCATCCTTAATGAATTGCCTATTCACAGTCTTTTTTTATTTTTCTATTTTTTAATTTATTCTTATTTATAGAAATGTTTATACATAATGAATATTAAATGCCACTTGAAATGTGTTCATGGTAACTTTTGCCATGTGTAAATTAAAAAATGTTTAAATATCAGATAGTTCATCTTTTGTGTTGATTTCTGGGTCTTAGGAAGGTTTGCCTCACTCTAAATTATTAAAATAGCTCCCTATGTATTTTTCTGTTACATTAAACCTTTTTTTTTGTATTTAGATATTAATACATTTGGAATTTATTTTAGAGTATCATGTGAGGTAGAAATGTAACTTTTTTTACATGCCTGTCTAGTTTTCCCAAGACCATTACTGAATAGTTCCTTTCCTTCTGACTTTATGATAAACTACTTGCCTGTGCATACTTGCCTGCTTCTAGGCTGTTTATTCTCCTCCCAGTCATCTGTCTGTTCCTATATACTAGAAGTACATCTTTGTGATATGTTTTAATATCTAATAGGACATTATTATTCTTGCAACATTTCCGTAGCTATTTCTATTTAATTTCTCTTCTGGATGAACGTTCGAATCATCTTGTTCATCTATATAAAAAATCATGATGGAATCTTATTCTTTGGATATATAAATTGATGTGGAGAGAATGTACATTTTTACAATATTGAAGCTTCCCATCAAGAAACATAACATACCTCTCTATTTATTTGAGCCTTCTATTATGTCCTTCAGTAGAATTTTGTAGATCATATAGGACTTGCACATATCTTGTTAGGTTATCCCAGGTATTTTGTAGGTTTTGCTGGGCTATTATGAATGTGTTCTTATTCCATTCCATTTTCTAATTAGTTGTTGCTGCTTAATATGAAAGCTATTGATTTTTTATGTGGATTCTTGATTAACTAAAATTTTTCTAAAAGTTTTTCATCTGCTTCTCTAAGATTTTTTCAAAACACACATTATCTGTTAAGAATAACATTTTGGGCCCTGACCGGTTTGGCTCAGCGGTTAGAGCGCCCGCCTGCGGTCCGGAGAGGCCCAGGATCAGTTCCCGCTAAGGGCATGTACCTCAGTTGCAGTTTGTCCCCGGTCCTGGTTGGTCGTGCGGGTGGCAGCCACTCGATGTGTCCCTTTCACATCGATGTTTCCCTCTCTCTCTCTTCCTCTCTCTCCCTCCCACTCTGTCTGTACAAAAAATGGAAAAATGTCCTCGGATGAGGATTAAAAAAAAAAAAGAATAACATTTTGGTTTTTCCCTTTCCCATATATGTACTCTTCAATTCTTTATCTGGTCTTACTGCATAGCTAGCTCTCTGGGACAATAAATAGTAACAATGATAAGAGGCATCCCTGCCCTGGCCAGTTTGGCTCAGCGGTTAGAGCATCAGCCTGCGGTCCAGAGAGACCCGGGTTCGGTTCCCGCTAAGGGCACATACTTTGGTTGCAGTTTGTCCCCGGCCCTGGTTGGTCGTGCGGGTGGCAGCCACTCGATGTGTCCCTTTCACGTCGATGTTTCTCTCTCTCTCTCTCCCACTCTATCTGAACAAAAAAATGGAAAAATGTCCTCAGGTGAGGGAAAAAAAAAAAAAGAGGCATCCTTGCCTTGTTCCTATCTTTAATGGATACCAATTATTATAATCTCACCAAAGTAGAAACCCCCTCTGTTACATCCTGGATAGGTACTATCCAGCCTGCACGTGAATGCTCAGAGTGTTGATTACTATCTCATGAAGATGCTTGCCCCATTTTTGCTCAGCTGTTTGAGAACTTCCTCCTTTACGCATTAATTTATGCACTTATTCTAACTCAGAGCTGGTGTTTCCCTGCTCTCTCTTCTTCTAGAGATGCTCCTCTTCTTGCAGAGTCCCTTCAATTTGGGGAGAAAATCATTTTCTTAGAGAAATCCAGGGAAGCAGCAGCATTAGGGCAAATGTGTGGTGAAGAAATTCACTCATTTACTCAGCACATGTTACTGAGCACCTACTCAGTGCAAGGCACTGGGCATAGAGAGAGAAAGAAGACACAGTCCCTGCCCTCAAAGAGCTCAATCTGGTTGGGGGTCACATGTAAAGTACGATACCATGGTCTGGGAACACATGTGAGGGAACAACTGACTATACCTTAAGAAGTTGAGCAAGACTTCACATTTGAGCTGGATTTGAAGGATGAGCAGTTAATGAAAGCGGAGATGGGAAAAGGGCTTCTGAGCAGTGGAAAAAGAACATACAGTAATAGAGCCTAAGGAACAAGGGCAGTAAGATTGAAGAGGTGGTAAGAGGTGCACTGACGTCTGAGCAACGGGCTGGAGCCTGCTGGAGGTCTAGCGCAACTGTCTCTTCCTCCAGGGGTAATAGCCCTGCTGTGCATGAGCGGCTACCTGATCTGGAGAAACTGGAAGCGGAAGAACACCAAAAGCATGAATTTTGACAACCCAGTGTACAGGAAAACAACAGAAGAAGAGGATGAAGATGAGCTCCACATAGGGAGGACTGCTCAGATTGGCCATGTCTATCCTGCAGTAAGTATCCTTGCTGAAGAATGAATTCCTTCCTCCCTTTCTTTCTTCCTCCCTTCTTCCCTTCCTTCAAACATTTATCAAGAGCCTACCATGTGCCAGGCACTGTTCTACGCCCTGGGGACACAGAAATGTTGGAGTAGGTAGTTGGGGTAGAAGGGTATCAGGGCCTTCTTATTCCTAGAGGCTCTTCCTGGAAGTAAAGACACCAAATGTCTTTTTCTCTGCTGAGTAAGTTTTTAGAACCTTGACCTGGAAGGGTAACTGGGGCCATTCAATTCAAATGTATTCATTTCAACAAACGCTGTATGCTGGTTATGAACCAAGCACCACATTAGATATTAAGTGTTCAAAAGGAAGGAAGGATGTACTTGCTCCCAAGGAGCTGGTGGGAGTAAGAGATCCTCACTTACTATTATTGTACAGCTGTGTGCCAAGTGCCATGGTGGAAGATCAAGAGTCCTCTCTTCTGGGAAACTTTCTCTGGCTTTCTTTGTTCTCCCACAGCCTCTCTCCATCACAGCACCTGTCACACTCTGGTCAACTTGTCTTTTTAGTCGTTGGTCTTCCCACTAGACCGTGAGCTCCTTGAGGGCAGGACTATCTGATTCATCTGTGTCCCTGATGCCTAGCACAGCATAGGTGGCTCCCAGTTAATATTTGTTGAACAAATCAACAAGGGGGCTATTACTTCTGTTTGGGAAATCTGGCAGGGAGTGCCTCACAGAGGAGGTGGCAGATAAACTGTATCCTTGAAAGAGTAGTAGCAATTTTCCTGGTAGAGAAGGAGGCAAATGGCACTCCAGAAAGAAGCATGTGCAAAAGCTGAGAGGCACAACAGGGCATGGCTTGTTGGGGGAGCAAGGACAACAAAGTGGTGGAAGCAGTGTCATGGTTGTATAGCAATCAGGGGGCTGAGTGTAACCTCATAGGTCATCCAGTCCATCCCCCGTCAGGCAATCAGCAGCTTTGATCGCCCACTGTGGGCAGAGCCCTGTGTTGGGGAGACCAGAGAACTGGAAGACTCAGCCCCTGCCCTCAAGGAGCTTTTTGTCTTGCCGGGAGAACCAAGGTCACAGCTGCACCAACTCCCGAAGAACCCTCTTTCCGAACTGCCTGTCGTCAAGTGCAAGGTAGGGCAGTGCCGCTCTGAGTCTGAGGGGCTGATGAGTGAGGGTGTGAACCCAGGCAGGTACAGCCAATCTAAGACTTTCTGGTTCTGGAAGGCTGCAACCTATAAGCTGGGGATTGGCACAAAGAGAAAAGATGGGTTAGTTGCAGACTGAGGAAATGGCATGTGGAAGAAATGATTGAGTATGAGCAGGACAGACTGAAGCAAATTGTTCGTGAAGGGGAGACAAGGGAAATGAGACTGAGCAAGTGAGGAGGGCTAACAGGTGGCTTTGAGGATTCTTAGCCTGGGCCAATCCAAGCAAATAGTTGCTTAACCAAATTGTAATGATCAGAGAGGGCACAGTGGAAGAAATGTTGAGCTTGGAGTAAAGAGATGACTCCCAGTTTCACTATTCCACAGCCCTGTGATTTTAGCCACTTCTCTGCTCACTTTTACTTGGAAAATGGGGATAATAACTCCCCTTCTACCTGCCTCCTAAGTTTATAAAGTTCAAGTGAGAGAGCACATGTAAGAGTGCTCTGTGCGTTATAAGCCCTCTGCAAATGGGAAGTGGCATTACTTCCAGAAGGAAACAACCATTCAGGAGGAGCTATTCCCGAGGAATCTGGAACTGAGGAATCACCTCCTGCTATTTGCAGAGAAATAGAGTAGGAGAGTGAGGAAATCAACCTTTAGTGAGAACCTACTATGTATCAGACACCACTCAGAGTTTCACATGCATTTTCTTGTTTAGTCTTTACAGTAACCTTATAAAGTTGATATTATTAGCCCCATTTTTCAGATGAGGAAATTGAGACTCAGAAATTGAATAATACCAAGGATCACAACTAGAAGTGGCAGAACCAGGATTCAAACTCCAGTCTGTATACACACAAAAACCCGTGCTATGTCATGGGGTAAATAGCCTTGAAGCTCTAGAGACCTGTATTCTCAACAACCTGTTCTCTCCCTGTCCCTTTCTCAGGTAGCACTTCTGGGACCTGCTTTCGGCCTAGAGATCTGTCTTGGTGAGAGTGGGAGGGAAACTAGACTAGAAAAAGATGCTCTCAAATATCTATGCTAGTGGAGCAAAGCCATGGCATTCATGCAAAACCACAAATAACCAAAGGTGACATGAAAGACAGTGGAGTTACCTTTTATTGTATGTAGAATGTCCAGAGATAGAAAATGCTTGTCTGGTTATATTTCATGCTGGTTAGGTTGATCTAGAATACTCTGGACCCCATGTGTGTTAAGTACTATATTAAGCACTCTATATACATTATCTCATTTGATTTCCCAACAACCCTAGAAAGTAGGTCTTATTATTATTCCCACTTGACAGATGATGAAACCAAGGCTCAGAAAGGTGAAGTGGTTAGCCCAAATTCACATAGCTATGAGAAGATATTGAAACACGAGTCTGTCCAAAGGACGGTATCCAAGAAGTGGATGAGTGGGAAACAGAATTACAACAGGACCAGTTGGGGAAAGCTAGATGTATAACTTGGAGAAGATAATACTCCGAAGGAAGGGAACTCAACCACAATGTAAATTTCAAGTGTTGTCTATGTTGAACCCTCTGAGTCTAAGGAAGAGAATTAGGAAACATCAGAAGATATAAAGAAACAAATTTCATGTCAATAAATGAGAGAATTTAAATCCATTGTCCAAAATAGAATAGACTGGCTCAGGGATTAGTGGGTTCACCATTCAGTGGTCAGCCATTTGTCACAGAGGGAAATCTAGCATCTAATAACTAGAAAGTAGTGGTAAAGGAAAGAGGTATTGAACTTCATTGACCTGAACTGCCTTCCAATTCTGTATAATCATTTGGGAGGGGTGCAGCAGATTACCTTCCTAGCTGTGACTAACATGCTAGAGACAACTAGCTAGTGACCTGGGATTAAACATATGTCAAAACTAACCCAAAACATATGCAAACCTAAAATCCTTCAAGAAAGGATTGAGAAAGTTTAGATCTCTGCAGCCCTCCTTTACAAAGAGGCAGAACAGAATGATGGGAAAAGCTAAAGCTCTGGATTCGCACAGATCTGGGTTCAAATTTTTGTTCATCCACTTGCTACGTGATCCAGGACACACATTTAAGCTCATTGAGTCTCAATTTTCTCATCTGTAAAATAAATATGACAAACCTGTCTCTTGGGGTAGTTTAAAGATTATATGAGTTAATGCCTGTAAAGTAATAGAATGCCTGGTATAAGTAACTCCTACAGGTCTAATGGTGATTTCTTTGCTCTGTCTCCCCAGCGAGTGGCATTAAGCCTTGAAGATGATGGACTGCCGTAAGGATGGGACCACTCCCTTCATGCCTCACGGAATTCAGTTCCATGCACTACACTCTCTGGATGGTGTATGCCTGGATGGAAGGATTTCTGTATGTGGGTCTGTGTGAGCGTGTGTGTATGTGTGTGTGTGTGTGTGTGTAATTTTTTAAAATTTATGTTGCGGAAAGGTAACCACAAAGTTATGATGAACTGCAAACATCCAAAGGATGTGAGAGTTTTTATATGTATAATGTTTTATACACTTTTTAACTGGTTGCACTACCCATGAGGAATTCATGGAATGGCTACTGCTGAGTGACTAACATGCTGTAAATAACCAAATGGGGCCGATGGTACAGTAGCTTACTCATCATTTAAAAACTATATTTACAGAGAGAGTATTTGATTTTGGAGGGGCTTTTTTAGGTTTGGAGTTTTGTGGGGTTTTTTTTGTAAATAAAATGATTATGCTTTGTGGCTATCCATCAACATAAAAAAAAAGAAGAAGAAGAAGAAGAAGAAGAAAAAAACACCTCAACTCCCTCCCCAACTTAGATTATTTATTAACAAACTTCAGAGATAAGATTAGTTCTATAAATAATTTAGAGACATGAGAGTATTTATTTTTGGTATGACTGGCCCACCGCACAGACTCTGTGTGCATTTTTGTTTGTCTGCATGTGTGTGCAAGAGAAAAATCTAGAGAGGAGGAGCACCTGTGGCTGTTATTCAAGTACATAAAGATAAATAGATTTTAAGACAGTCCACAAGAGGGTACATGGAGTTTTCAGAGAAGCCTTTGGAGATTTAGCTCAGAAAACAGATACCATGGTTTGTGCAAACATGTAGTGGAACAGGCAGAATCTTTCCACCTCTGGCTATTCCTGGGACCTGAATCAGTCAGGAGAAGCCCTTCCGCTCACCCATGGCTGCTGTGACCCTCACCTGAGCTTTTTCTAGTGTGGCTAAGGCCAGTGTACTGACTTTACACGGGACCAGAAGTCCTTGTGAGATCAGATGAGAACATGCCTGAACCTTGGCTACTCCTGGTTTTAAAGTTCAACATTTCAAGCAACTTCATTTTCCTTCAGGACACTTGGGTTGAATTCATTAAGGTTCCTCTGAAGCACCCTGAGGGTACCTTCCTGGTTATAGAGAGCTAAGTGGAGATGTTTCTAGAACAGCCCAAGTTTTACTCTGGGAACTGAGTTAGGCACAGAACCCTGAGATGTGCTATGGACGAGGCTACAGATGGTGGCATAGGCTTTGTTACATCTCCCTCTCTCCCTTCCTCTCACTCTCTACCATTTCCTTTAGGCGGGGAAGTGTAATACATAGGTTTGCTGCCATAATGTGTTCACATAGATGAAACTAATTTTGGGCTTAAGTCAGAAAAAGTGGCCAAACCTAAAGTTGTGTTTGAGGGGACAATGGTATACGCAATATTATAGTACACTGAATATATATGTTCACACAGAGATTTGGTTTACTGCTTTGTAAATAAAAGGAAAAGCTCTAGGTATATGTACAGATTTTTTCCCCACTGTGGATACTCTCTTTGCTTCTCCTGGCCCTTGGGGGAGGCGGGGAGAAGTGCTCTTTTCTCTGTGGGGCCTACCATTGAAGACAGAATCTGACAGTCCCAGAAGCAATCTGGTCCCCACTGGCTCTCATCCACGGTCTTTCCTTAACTCTGTTGTTCTACCACGTCACTCCCACTGGACAGCCAGGGACAAGATGTGACACAGAAGTGTTTGGCTTACTTACTTAGGAGCAGAGGACATGTATTTAACCTTATCATACCTGGAACTTCACACATTTAAGAAAATTCCTCTCTCCTGCTTCCTGGCTGCCCCCAACTCAATGAAGCTTAGATGTCTCACCAGCTTGATACCCTTTGAATTTCCAGGCAGACATTCTGGAGTTCTATCACCCTGTTCCTAGGACCTTTCTCTACGTCACTCATGGTCTCCTAAATTCTGAGAAAACAACTATTCTGGAGCCTGGGCACTGTGTTTTGCATAAACAATCAATTTCTTCATGATATGCATGTGTTGATAGTCCTGAAACATCCATTAAGAGGGAAAATGCAATTCGCCTAGAATGACCATTACCAAATAGAATTCTAAAAACAGCTGGCCAACTCCTCTGGAACTTAATCACTTACTACAATTCTTTCAAGAATAAAAAGTAAAATTATTTCTGACTGAAGAAAAATGATGAAAATGAAAAATCATTGAAATTTACACAAAACAAGCAACTTTTTCTGTAACCTGCCCCCAAAGAAATAGAGTGTCCTGGGCAAAATGATAACAGTGACTAATGCATAATATCTGAACCTTCAGTCAGCTCCTGGCCTTCACAGAAAAAAATAATGAATAGGGTCATGATGATTCAGTCTGAGGTCGCAAAATGATGATGAAACACAACTTTCTCAGAGACACCCACGTTTTCTGAATATGCTACAACTGCAGTTTGAAAGGCAGCTATGGGAACAATCTACAAAAAACAAAAGTGTGGAACACTCACGTGTTGGATAATAGTAAAATAGAGAACTCTGAGGAGTCAGGTCCATCCTCTAGTCCTGAAGGCTTTTAAGCCTCATTCTGAGATTTAGTTGCATTTCTGTTGCCTTTTGCCCCTGTGCCATCGTATATCAACAAGTCGAGAACAGGTTAGAGAGTCACTGGACCATAGAGCTGGAAGGGAGCTTAGAGATAATGCCAGGAGGGAAGAAAATTTATCAGACAATTTTTCTCTATTTAAAAGAAACTGGTCCTGGTCCTTTTCCTCCCTCTTCTTCTCCAGTTGACTACATTACACTACCCGAACGTTGTACTGATCTGCTACCTATCCTTCCAATGGAATTATGAAAGCACTGGTAGAAATGGCCTTCCAGAAACAGGGAAAACTAAAATTTCATTTACTTACTTTTTTTTTTTTTTTTTTTGCTCAGATAGAGTGGGAGGGAAAGAGAGAGAGAGAGAGAGAAACATCCACGTGAAAGGGACACATCAAGTGGCTGCCACCCACACGACCAACCAGGGCCAGGGACAAACTACAACCAAGGTACGCGCCCTTAGCAGGAACCGGACCCAGGTCTCTCTGGACCTCAGGCTGATGCTCTAACCGTTGAGCCAAACCAGCCAGGGTTCATTTACTTATTTTTGATAGCATGATTATAAAACAGATTGAGATAACCAACTAGATCTAAATTTATGGCAACAAGCACTATTGATCCCTCCCACTCTCTTTGTGATTGCAATATATTCTTTCACTGAAACCATCTGTTAGGTACCAACTAAGAGTCAGGTACTGCAGATGTACAGGTCAATCAAACGTTTTCTGTACTTCTTGAGCTCACAAGAGCAGTAAGGAAAGATGTGGAAACAAAAAAGGAATAGATTCTTTTCAGAGTACTGTTCTGGTACAATGCAGTCATTTCTACCAAAGGAGATGAGAAACGGGGTCCAGAAAGCCATTGTAGGGGAACTGACCTTAAGCTAAGTCTTAAAAACTAAGTAGGGATGTCAGGCTGCTTCAGGCAGAGAAACACTGAACTAAGACAGAGGCATGAAACAGCATGGGGACTTTAAGGAATTGCATGTAATTCATTTTAACGAGCAAAGAGCTCAAGGGGGACTTAGCAAGAAATGAGGCTGGATGGAAAGACAGGTTCAATATAAGCACTTTATAGAATACTTCTATTTAACTTTTGATTCAATTCAGCAAACATTTCTTGGTCATTTACTGTGTACGAGGCACCAAGTGCATGGGAAAGTCATCAAGGATGCGTTGCCGGCACTTGAAGATGTGACAGCTTCAGCCTCAAGCTTTCCAGTGGCCAAAGAGAGACAGTGACTGCTTTTCATATATCTGAGTTAAAGTTTTTTTTTTTATATGGTCAATGAAAACTAATATAAGGGCAGTGGGATTTTCACAGAAGTGTTCCATGTTGTCAAGAGCCTCTGAGATTTTCTCAACAGTGAGAAAGAAAACTGGAAATTTTGAAGACGTGGAGTCCGCAGAGGGGACCCCAAGCACTGTCCAGTCAGGTGCTGGTGGGAATGTAGAGGGCACAGGAATGTGAGCCTCCCCACCTCACTCCCTAATTTCAGCCATGCATTCATCATTTCACAGAATTTAAATGGTTAGCAGTTAAACGTTTCAGAGTAAATTACCTCCTTTCCCATCAATGCATGAAGATAAAGTATTGGAGTCTTCTTACACTGTTTTTAGGGTACTGGGGATTTTCAGGATATGGAAAACTTAGAGGTGGAGGAATTACAGCTTCAAATTTTCAGTTAATAAAAGAAATCAGGAAGCTCTCTTCATTCAGGCTATGCACCATGTGCACAGTCAGGAATCAGCAGAAACACTGTATTTACAAACAGTTTGTGCTATAAAAAGTAATTTTAAAAGAGCCACCTGTATATGTATATATATATTTAAAGACATGAAGGTTTTGATACTTTTTTACAAAAATTACAAGAGAAAAATACCTGTACAAACCACGTGCTTTAAAATACCATTTTGTTCTATACAAGCTGTTGTTAATTTGACGGTGAAGTACTGGTTTGCAAACTCCACATTGTACCCAAATGAATTTTCCTTGTTTGTCTCCCCACCACACACAAACAAATGACATTTGATGTAATGTAACAGGCATGTTAGAATGTCGAGTCACTAACTGTTCCTTCTCTTTTTGTCTTGTCATTCTGAGTTCCGATGGCTTCTGTACTCAGTCCCCTTTGGAGTCTGGTTTCTCTTCCAGAGGCAAAGGGTGGTGCGTGCATCTCATGAGCTGTACTGGCAGCATCTTGGTGAACTAAAAACCAAATGTGGACATTTGTAAAATCAGTGCACTGTTTCTAGAGAAAGATTAAATTCATTTTTTAAAATCCTAAAGTATTGTTTCATTGTGATGCTTTAATGAAAGAGGGGAGAGTGAATGGTCATTGATTGGGTCTCTAATGTATATTCGGTATTCCACATAAATTACCTTAATCTTCGTCAACAATCCTGTGAGGTAGTGCTCATGTACACGTGGTATTCTTTGCCTAGATTTTCCTTCTCTGCTGCTTCATCCTGGCTAACTCCTGTTGAGTACTCCAGGCAGCATTCTCTATTCTCTCAGACCCAGACCTAACTCAAAAGGGTTGGGTAACTATGCTTCCACAACAAATTTGGCCTACTTGTATCCCAATACTTCTGCCCTACTTATCACTCCCATGCCACTGAGGTTGCTTTTACTAAGGCCACCCAGGACCACCTTGATTATAAATCTTGTAAATACTTTTAGGACTATCTTCCTTGACCTCGGAAGGAGTATTTAACATTGTTGGCACTCCTTTTTGGGATACTCTTATTTTGTTTTACATAATACTGTATACCCAGTTTTACCCCTACCTCTCTGGCCACATTGTAATCTCCTTTGTTCACCCTTTAAATTATGGTATGCCATCTCAAACCCATCTACTTTTATATCTCCTTTGCCACTACCAGATTATGTATCACCATCATCTTGGATTATCACCATCATAAATTACTTAACAACTACTTATCTGAATTTTATACTTCTAATCTTTCCATTTTCCATTCCAATTTACAACACTGCAGCCAAACTGATCCTTCTCGAATGCATTAGGTCACCACCCCTTTCTACTTTCCTGCCTAAAGCCCTTTATCTGTTTCCCTTGCATTAAAATCCAAAACCCTCGGATTTTAGCCTAAACTCCTTAATATGTCTTTTAAAGTCCTTCATGATTTAGCTTCCATCCCTTCTCCAACCTTCTTACTATATTCACAACCTCATTCTATATTCTAACCACACAGCTCTAGGCCCTCTCTCTGGAACATTTCCTTCAGAAGACTTCCATTAAGCCCCTAGACTGGATTAGGGGCCACTCACTCCATGTGCTTCTGTTGTGTTTTGTGCTTCCCCAATTTGTAACCTTTCTCCCTACATTATAATTGCTTGTGTGCTCCTTAATTGCCTCCTCTGCAAGCTGTATGAAGGTCTGTCTTGTTCACTGTTGTATTGCCAGCACATGACACACAGTGATGCTCAGTATATTATGCTGAATTCAGGCACATCAGCCACACAGACCATGCTCTTTTGGCTGTACCATGCTGTCTCATAAACCCAAACCTGGATCACTTCACAGCCTGCTTGGAGTGAGGTGTCCTTTAAATTTTCTAGTACTTTTGCTATTTGTCACATCTGCAGATACCCAGCTTTACCAGTTACATTATAATTTTTATAATTTCACTCTTGGAAAATAACCTTGTGGTAATTACCCAATGTCTCTGTATACTTAACTCCAATGAACAACTGTGAGGATTCAAAGAACAAGCACTTGTAAATGGGCTCAGCCTTAGGGCTGACATTTATTAGGTGCTTAATACCTGGTGGTTCCCTTCTCTTTTTTATACAGTTCCTTTGTTACCACCTATATCCATTGTTGCTTTTTTTAAAAAAATAATAAAATGCCTTATGGTTTTATAGTAATTTATAGTTTGCAAAGTATTTTTCAATTCCCAAGACATTTTTTCTTACCCTTAAAACAGTTCTGCCAGATGTATAACATTATGTTCCTTTTAAAGATTAAAAAACCCGAGGTCCAAAAAGTTCATTTAGTTTACCTTTGATGACAATGAATCACTATCACACAAAAGTTTTTTTAACATAAGTCTCCAGTGATTTTTTCCCCCATCACACCCACTCTAAACTCTGTTACCAATGCTTTTACAGGGAGAAAAGAAATAATGGCAAGATTAGGAATGATAATCAGAGACCACCAGTCTGAATACAGAATAGTATCTAGTTATAGTCACCAGGCCCCAAGAATGATGCCATCTCAACACTGTCTCCAGAACCAATTCCATTCCCCCTCTGGCTGAACTTAGATGAAATAAAGCAGGTTTCTAATAATTAGGATATTTTTTTGCTCTTGGCCTAATCAAGAAGGAAATTTTTTTCCACAGCCAGAAAGCCTCCACAGAGGTTAACCACTTTGGCCTGAAAAGACAAGAGCCTCTTGCCCTGGTCGGTTTGGCTTAGGGGTTAGAGTGTTGGCCCCTGGACCAGAGAGTCCGGGGTTCAGTCCCTGCTAAGGGCACTTGCCTCGGTTGCAGTTTGTCCCTGGTCCTGGTTGGGGTCGTGTGGGTGGCAACCAGTTGATATGTCTCTCTCACATGGATGTATCTCTCTCTTTCTCCGCCCCTCTCTGTCTGAAGATAAATGCAAAATAAAAAAAGAGCCTCTTGCCTAATTCTTAAAACCCTGACTCCTCTGGGGAGCTTTGCAAAAAACAACAACAAAACACACACAGATGCCCGGATGCCCAGGTCCACCGTGAGAGATTTTGATTTAATTGGTTTGCGGTGGGGCCCAGGCATCCGTATTGTTTAGACGCTCCAAGGTGACTCCATCGTGCTGCCAAGACTGAGAAATCACTGCTGGGTAAGCAGTGCAAAGATAGGTGGGGAGTGGGAGATCAAATATTCAACTTCACTTCTACCCACGGCACCTGCTTCAGAAACCAGTGTGGTAGAAAGGGAAAGGTAGAAATGAAAGGTAGAAAGAGAGAAAGTGGGGGATAAATGCGTGCCTGTTAATTCCAGGGAAATGGCATTCTCCACTGTGTATTCAGGAAAAGCATAGCTGAGAACGGTTTTCTCGAATTGATCCTTAACCAGCAAAGTTAGGTCGGAGCCAATATTGACACGTGCATTATCAATGCACTGAGTTCTGTGAGGTCTGGTCATTTAACCCCATTTTACTGTAGAGACAACTTAAGTCCAGAGGCAACCAAGGGCTTTGTCTCACTCACACAAGTTGGGTGTCCGTTACGTGTAGGTTGAGACTTCGGGGTGTTCAGCCCAAAGTGTCTTAAAGCGAGGTCTACAGACCCCTCGCCGAGGCCTTGAAGCCCTAGGCTGACGTCTGGTCTCACGGCCAGAAGGCCAACTGGTAAACTTAAGACACTTCGCAATTTAGAGGGCGTGGCTGCACTGACCCCACCTCCACGTGAAAGGGGCCTCGTGTCCGCCGAGAGGAGCGGGGCAGCCTTGTTCCCACCTCTGGGCGGGGCGCGAGGGGAGCCCTTCGCTTCCCGCGACGGCGTTGCCCTTACGTCACTTCCGCGCGCCGCCGTAACGTCACTGTCGGGCGCGTACAGCGGCCGTAAGAGTTGCTGTTCAAGTTCGGTCTCCGTGGCCTCTCGCGAGCCATGGAGAGTGACTTTTATCTGCGCTACTACGTGGGTCACAAGGGCAAGTTTGGCCACGAATTCCTGGAATTTGAGTTCCGACCCGACGGTGAGAGCGGTCTCTCGTCCCCCGGGAACGAGGACCAGGCCTGGGGTGGGCGCGGGGAGGCCGGGGGTCTGGAATGTGCGCGGAACTAGACGAAAGAATGGATCTGGAAGGAACACTCCTGTGTCCGCCCCACTGGTTCTTTTTGTCCAGGTGCAGGGTCTTCTGTACAGTGACATTTTACCAGAATGCTTCAAACATTGACTGAACTCACACTTTGAACCAGGCTCTGTGTCACAATCTGGGATACAGGAGTGAACGATAGACAAGCTTCCTCTCTCATGGAGCTTGTCTTCTAGGACTGGGAGAGAAATCATAAACAAAAAAGATTCCAGATAGTGATGAATAGTCAGAAAATAAAATAGGGTGGCCATTGGAGAGCTCTCTGAAAAGGGGATATTTGAACTGAACCTTGATTGACAAGAAGCAGCCAGCCTTGTGAAGCTTAAAAAGAGCATTCTAATCAGAGGGAGTAATGAATGCCCCCCTCTAGGGAAGGGATGAGCTAGGCATATTTCAAGAGGCCAGTGTGGCTGAAGAGTAGTGAGCTCTGAGGAGAATAGTAGGAGATAATGTAGGGTATGTAGAGTTTGGGTTTTATTCTAAGTGCAGCAGGAAGCAGTTGAAACGGTTTAAGCAGAGAAGAGATGTGATCTGTTCTTGAAAAAATATTTTAATTATTGGGTACAGAATGAGCAAAAATGAAAACAGGCCTACTTATTAGGCGGCAATTAACAATTGTCCGGACAAAAGGGATTTTGGTTGGGACTAGGGTGACTTTGTCAGTTATAGGATTTAGGGAGGAGGCACAGTGGTTAAGGAAAAGGAATTAAAGATGACAGAAAACTCTCACTAAATAGGGGCACAAAGATGAATCTGACAAGCTACATTTGTGAAAGAAATAGATTTGTAAACAGTGACAATACAGTATATCAGGGGCTGTGGGTAGAAAGAAACAGAAGGGATTCTGGGAGCAGAAAGAAGGCACCTAATCTCGCTTGAGGGTTCAGAAGAAGCGTCCTGCATAAAGTGATGGAAGCGGGATGTGAGTTTTCAGTAACTGTAGGGGTTGTTTAGGCACACAAGAATTAAGACATTTTGGACAGCATTAACAGCAAAGAGACTGAAAACCAAAAAGTGCCTGGGATGTTTCAGGCAGAAACTAAGTAGTTTAACTCCAGCTATGTGAGAGATGGCTGTTGCAGAAGTGAGTCTGGAAAGGCAGGCAGAGGCTCAGGTCAGCAGTATGCCATGTTGAATTTGGATTTTATCAAGGAGGCAGTGGGAAGCCATTGTCAGTATCAGAGTATTAGAGTAACCTAATGAGATCCATCTGTTACATCACTTTTTCCACTGTGTGGAGAATGAACTGAAAGGAAAGAGACTTGAAGTAGAGAGTACAGTGATGCATCATTTAATTTGGCTCTTTCATCTTTTTTACAACCACCATATACCCAAATTAGCCTGTTAAATGCATATATGTGCAAAGGGCTCTGTATATCAATTGTGTTAAATACCAAAACCACAACTTTTTTTTCAATCTTCACCCAAAGACATATTCATTGATTTTATAGAGAGAGGAAGGGAGAGAGAGAGAAACATATATCAGTTGCCTCTCATATGCGCCATGACTGGGGATCAAACCCGAAATCCTTGTGCACGGGACAACACTCCAACCAACTGAACCACACTGGCCAGGGTTAAAACTACAACTTTTCCATTGCAGGAATAGATCAGAATGTTCCACAGTCACATGATAATGTATGTAAACAGCACTTAAAATTTTCAGAAGGCTTTCATAACTCATTTGAGCTTCAGCAGGCCCTGTGTGCAGGCAAGTTACCAATTACTATCTCTGTTTTCAACTGAGGACATTAACCTGCAGAGATGATTTGTCAGAGTCACAAGAATCTGCCTGTGTTCTTTTATCACACCTGCAAGAACTGTAATTCAGCATCAGCTGTATTTTTGGCTGTGAGGCTACTTAATAGCATAAAGTGAAGAACTGAAAAAAATGTATTGTTGAAACACTAAAGGTATAAATATTAAAATGTTAGATTTTGAGGGGAAAGTTAGAATACATTTGAAGCGCCCTGGCCGGTTGCTTCGTGGTTAGAGTGTCAGCCCGCATACCAGAGAGACCTGGGTTCAGTTCCTGCTAAGGGCACGTACCTCAGTTGCATTTTGTCCCCGGCCCCGGTTGGGGTTATGTGGGTGGCAGCCAGTCGATGTGTCTCTCTCACATTGATGTTTTTCTCTCTCTCTTCCTCCCTCTCTCCCTCCTGCTCCATCTGAAGACAAAATTGTAAAAATGTCCTCGGGTAAGGATAAAAAAAAAAAAGAATACGTTTTAAGCAACAGCTGATAGTAGACTAATGATGGTTTATTCACATGTTTTTATTATATATTGAATTTTTTTTTTGCCCTTCACAGGGAAATTGAGATATGCCAACAACAGCAATTACAAAAATGATGTCATGATCAGAAAAGAGGTAATGCGCCTTCTGAGATCCTTTCTCATTCACTAGTTTAGCCTTTTGTCTTTTTTGTTGTTGTTCTTTCTGGGAGTAGTATTGAAATATAAAGAACAGGAAAGTATAGACATATCTGTAGACGGCTTCTAAAGTTTTTCTCAAATCTTTTAGTTTATATTTTCTTTCACAACACTGAGTCAACTACTGACTTAAAGTCTTGCAGACTTTGGCTTAAACCCGGAATCTGCTGCTTTCTAACCATGTGACCTTGGGCAAATCTGCATCTGAACTTGATAAATTCAGTGTCTTCATCTGCAGAAACTATATGAGTTACACCCTGACTCAAAGTGTTTGGTATATTCCCTGGTACACAACACTCAATAGAGCTTTTTAATTTACATTTGAATGGGAAAAGGAGCATGGGAAAACAGTTAATGTTAGAGAATGCATGTTAGATGCCAGGCATGACACTAGATATTTTACATACATGACCTTATTTAACCCTGATTGTAAGCCTGGGTGATGGGTGGTATTAGATATCCTTTACAGATAAGACCGTGAAGGCCCATATATTAATTATGGGGCTTGTTCAAAGTCACCGCTGCCAGTAAGGGATAGAACAGGAATTCAAACCTATGCCTGCCTCTGTCAAGTCCATGTGCTCCATTTTGGTATGATTTCTACTAGACCATTAAGTCTTCATCAAAGGCACTCTTTCCTTTTAACCACTTGGTCACATTTGAAAATATCTTGCAGTCAATATATTTTCACACTGTTTTATTTAATTAGTCATCAGTTTTATGTTTACCTACACATCAGCATTCTTTTTTTTTAAAAATGTAAACTAGTACGTAAAGTGTATTTAAAAGACATGTCTTGCCCTGGCCAGTTTGGCTCAGCAGTTAGCAGACCAAAGGGTCACAGGTTTGATTTTGGTCAAGGTCACATACCTCAGTTGTGGTTCGGTCCCTGGCCCTGGTCGGGGTCATGCAGGAGGCAATCATCGATGCGTCTCTCTCCTATCGATGTTTCTCTCTTTCCCTCTCCCTCCAACTCTACCTGGAGATAAATGGAAAAGTATCCTCGGGTAAGGATTTTAAAAAAGAAAGAGAGAGAGTGAGAGAGAAAGAAAAAGAGATGGCTCTGCTCTTCAGAAGCATGTCATCTAGTTAAGAATAATGGGTTACTCACAGATCTTTTGTTTTGGGTTTAGGTGTGAGTTGGGTGTGTAGGCAAGGAACAGGATGTGCCAAGTAGAAACAATTACAGGATGTCCCAAAAAAATGTATACAGGATGTATACTGGGTGTCTGTAGATTCTATTACATTTTGAAAATCAAATGTATTTTAATAAACACTGGCTTTGTAATATTCAAAATTGTGTATACATTTTTGGGGGACACCTTGTATCTGGGGGGCTGAGGTGTAGTCTTTGGACACTTCTCACCGTGCCCTCTTTAGCATGCTGAGGTCAAGCCTGAATGTCTTCCCATTTGCAGAGGTGCCAGAAATAAGTTTTCAGGAGCAGTCTTTTTTATCTTTAATCATTATTTGAGGCAGAACACTGCTTAGGAATACAACTTAAATTCTGTTTTTTAACTTGCTTTCAGGCTTATGTACATAAAAGTGTGATGGAGGAACTAAAAAGAATAATTGATGACAGTGAAATTACCAAAGAGGATGATGCTTTGTGGCCTCCTCCTGACCGAGTGGGCCGGCAGGTGAGTGTTTTAGGAACTGTCCACAGTGCAGACATCTTATAAATAAGTTGACTACTCTGCATATGACATTGAATCCTCTATTTGTGGTGCACATACTCGTGTGCACTGTAGAGTCCTTCAGAAAGCAGATTACCAGAACCTGGGTCCAAGGAAGCAGTAAACCCTCAGGGGAACAGGGAGAGTAAGAAGTGCTGTCGACCACCTAGAGCCCAGCCTTGAGTTTCCTCTTGTGACCCTCCCTCCCCCTCTTCTCAGAGTTTTTGCTGCTCACCTTACTTATTGAGTAACTACTATAGACAAAGCATTGTGAGGATACAAAAATAAATAGAACATAGATATTTCAACAGTCTAATGGAAGGAAGATCAAGCAACTAACCTCCTCTGCTTCTTTCCTAATCCAGACTTCTAATTGATTTCCTTGTTTCTCCTCGTCATATACAACTCATTTTTCCATCCTGAAGCCAGAGTAATCTTGTAAAATGGAAATTTGTTTATGTACAGCAGGTCCTCAAATAACATCATTCTATTCAATGTGGCTTCCTTATTACATTGATGAGATGCTATATGGATTTAACTGTTGCTTCTATCAATTAGCCTATGATAAAGTTGGTTTTGTTACACTGCAGCGCTTTTTTTTTTTTTATTTTAAATATCTTTTATTGATTTTTTTTTTTTTTTTAGAGAGAAAGGACGGGAGAGGGAGAGATAGAAACATCCATTGGCTGCCTCTTTCACACTGTCCACCACACTGGGGATCAAGGCATGTGCCCTGACTGGGAATCAAACCGTCACCCTCCTGGTCCATGGGTCGATGCTCAACCATTGAGCCACACCAGCTGGGCTACATTGCTTTGTTTTAAGTTGCAGAACTGCCCTGGCCAGTTTGGCTCAGCGGTTAGTTGGCCTGTGGACCGGAGAGTCCTGGGTTCGGTTCCTGCTAAGGGCATGTACCTTGGTTGCAGTTTGTCTCTGGCCCAGGTTGGGTCGTGTGGGTGGCGACCACTTGATGTGACCACTCGATGTGTCTCTCTCACATGGATGTTTTTCTCTTTCTTTCCTCCCTCTCTCCCTTCCGCTCTATCTGAAGATAAATGCAAAAATTATCGGGTGAGGTGTTTTTTATACATATATATATGTATATATGTATATATAAAGTCACATATATATCAACAACGTTAAGTAAGGAGTTAGTGTATTACACTGCTTTTAAACTCTCCAGTAGCTTCCCACTGCATTTAAAATAAAATCCAAACTCCAACTTTATCTTCTACCTTTCTCCTAATCTCTAGCTGTGTTCAAACCTCGCTGGTCTTATTTCTATCCTTCAGACATCCCTGCTCTTAGTGTAGGACCTTTGTATTTGCTACATGCTGCCTGAAAACCTGAAATAGTCTATCCAAGACTTTATTATTGAGGTATTCATATGTCACTTCTTCAGTGATGTCTGTCCATCAGATCTAAAATACCCCTCCCCATCATTTAAAAAAATCTGTTTGTCTTCATAACATTTATAATTATCCAAAATTATCCCATGATGCCCAGAAAAGTTAGATTCTTGATATATGTAAAACATAGATTTATACATTTTACTCTACACTGTTAACAATGAAAACTCATATACAAAACAATTATGTAATTTCTTCCAAATCTCAGATGGTAGAGCCTTACAGACACAACTTCCTCCAAGAGTATGAGCTACTCAAGGGCTAAACCAGTATTTAATTTATCTTTTTGTTTCTAGTATCTAGCACAGTTTGGTATGCAGAGTGAATTGGTCTTGTTTATGTGTGGTAGAGTTTGTGTAATTTGACAGGTGAACCCTCGTCCTATGTGCTTAATGCAAAACCCAGTTCGACTTGACTTAATTCTTTTTAAATGTTTCTAGGAGCTTGAAATCGTCATTGGAGATGAACACATTTCTTTCACAACATCAAAAATTGGTTCCCTTATTGATGTCAATCAATCCAAGTAAGTGTACACGATCCTTATAACCAGATGTGTCTGTTTTACAGCAGATTGATATGAAACCCTTAACCAAATTGGGACCATTATGGTAAGCTCTAGTACAGATGCAAGATAGAAGGGGTCAGCTTTGTCCCTCTCATTGGAGAGAGACTCTAAATTATTTTCAAGGACTTGCTCCTGTTGCTTTTGGTGTTTTGTCCAGTTATTACTAATAAGAGCTTCTCAGTGACACACACAGTAATATCATAGGAGTAGCCAAAGTGAGTAAGAATCTGTCCAGAACAGAAAAATGAAATATACCAGTACAAGTGCTTGAGATAAACTGTAGAGTCACTGAGTCTAAACACCTTCCTCAGTGTTATTCAGACTAACACATCTTAAAATCTGACTTGGATGAAACTTGAAATTATTTGGAATATAAATGTAAAAATTCATGTTGTCGGTAGGGCAAATTATAAAGTTGAGATATGAATCTATGCTGCAGAGTCTTCAGAATTTGAAAATCTCTTTGGCTCTTGTGTTTTGGGATTAGATATGGCTCACTTTTAGTATGTGGTGGGCATAATTGTCTTCCTTTGGACAGTCTCTTTGTTCTTTGCCAGTTATGCCATAGTAATGATCATCATCTTGATCCTGACTAGTACTACTTGGGGGGGAAAAAGTTGTCCTAATTCTGAAACTTACACATGCTCATTATAGAAAATAAAGGAAATGTAGAAAAGTGAGGGAAAAAGCACCCATAAACCTGTCAAGTAGACAACCATTAATGTCTTAAAGTATTTCTTTTTCTTTTTTTTTAAAGATTTTTATTTATTTTTTATCCTTACCCAAGGACATTTTTCCATTTCTTGTTCAGATAGAGTGGGAGGGAAAGAAAGGAAGAGAGAGAGAGAAACATCGATGTGAAAGGAACACATCGAGTGGTTGCCACCCACACAACCCAACCAGGGCCAGGGACAAACTGCAACCAAGGTAGGTGCCCTTAGCGGGAACCGAACCCGGGTCTCTCTGGACCGCAGGCCAACACTCTAACCGCTGAGCCAAACCGGCCAGGGCTCTTAAAGTATTTCTTACCTTTTTTTTCTGTACCTTAAAAAATACGTGATTTTTTTAAAGAACAAAAAAGATAATTTAGATCAACATGTTTTAATGTTTTTTTTTCCACTTAATATAAGCTTTTCCCCATTTTTAAAAACCTTAATATTTTAAATGATCTTTTAATATTGTCTTAATATATAGCATATAGCCTTTTCCTTCTTTTTGGACACTTGTTGTTGTCAAAGTTTTAATTCTGTAAATACCTTTATAAGTAATATCTTGGTACATAATTTGCATTATTAAATGGTATTATCTTGCCAGGTTTTCTCAGCTTTTTAAACATTTTTTTTCCTTTTGCATTTTAGGGACCCAGAAGGCTTACGAGTATTTTATTATCTTGTCCAGGACCTGAAGTGTTTGGTCTTCAGTCTTATTGGATTACACTTCAAGATTAAACCAATTTAGATTGAATATTGGTGTGGACACAAGGGGGGTGGGAGTAGCTGTTTTTAATTACCATTATCAGGAAATTTTTGTGTATATCAGGCCAATATTTTTTTTATAAACTGTAAATGACTGTCTTTAATAAATACGTAACAAAATGCAACTTTTGTCTTATAAAGAACTGAAAGTGTGAACCCTTCTCAATTAACTTTTTTTTTTAAAATCTTCACCCAGGGGTATTTTTATTGATTTTAAAGAGAGAGAAATATTGATGCAAAAGAGAAACAATGATTGCCTCCTGCACACACCTAGACTGGGGATCGAACCTATAACGTAGGTGTGTGCCCTGACCAGGAATCAAACCTGCATGGTGTATGGGATGACCCTCCAACCTACTGAGCCACCTGGCCAGAGTGCAATTATTTTTTAAAACATTAACACATCTTGGGTGAAGTATTGCCCCAAAATCTAATGGAATCAACTCTGTAGATATAACTGCCAAGTCATAGGAAATAAGAAAATAAGAGTCCTGGCCTGGTAGTAGCTCAGCTGGTTAGAGTGTTGTCCCCATATGCCAAGGTTCAATCCCCAGTCAGGGCACATACAAGAATCAACCAATGCATGCATATCTGAGGGGAACAACAAACTGATGTCTCTCTCTCCCCCCCCCCCCCCTTTCCTCTCTCAAATCAATAAATTAGTTTTTTAAAAGAAAATAGAGAAACATGTTTTAAAAAATACAGTGAGAGTCCAATCAGCAATATCCAGAGAAAAGTTTGGTTTCTTCAATAAATAAATTGCAAACATAAAATAGGGATGGAGCAGGAACTTATAGATTAAAGGAGATTTAAGAGACATAATCAAGACAATGTTTGGATCCCATTTAGATCATGACTCAAAATTTTTAAATTGACATCATAGAAATGCAAACACTGGATATTTGATATTAATGAAGTATTTATTATTTTTTAGTTGTAAAATCGTAGTGTGGTTTTTTTTCCTCCAGCTTGACAGATATATTTGAGCTTAAGTTTTTTTAAAAAATCACTTTTATAGATATATCTACAGCTATTTCACTATGGGAGAAAATACTTTAAGGGATAAAATGCCTAGTCTCAGTCAAGTTTTTCAATACCTTTTAAAATCAGAATACCAAACAGCCATTAATAATTGAGACCTAGTGAGTACAGTGTGGGAATTTGTTAAGCAGGTAAATCTATGGGAACTTTTTCTTGCTACTAAATTGCTGGGAGGCAAATTGCTGGTTGAACAGATTGTGGGCACTGAAGAGAAACAGGCCTTAATAAGTCATTTGACTGAGGGGAAGTGATTGGGCAAAGCTCAAATCTCTCAAGACAGGCCAACGTGGGGCATGGATGGTCCCAAGTCTTCTGACTCGTAGGTCAGTGCTCCCACCACTCCCAGCATATACATACCCTACTCCTACTCTGCCTCCTTCAAAGATACCATGGCAGCAGGTTAGGTGCGGATCTGGGACCTGAGATGTCACGATTCCTGACTACAACAGGGTACTTGGGCAATGAGGCAAGGTGGTGGTAAAGTAGGGTCAAAAACAGTCACTCCAGCCCTGGCCAGTGTTGCTCCGTGGTTAGAGCTTCGGCCTGCGCAGGGAAGGTTCGCGAGATTGATACCCACTCAAGGCCAAGTACCTGGGTTGCGGGTTCCATCCCTGGCCAGGGTGCTTGCAGGAGGCAAGTGCGATGTTTCTCTTTCTCTCCTCCTCCTTCCCCTCCAGAAATCAATGGGAAAAAGATCCTCCTGTGAGGATTAACAAAGAAAAAAAACCAAGTCACTCCAACTTTTAAAGAAATGACAGCTAGAAGGCTGCAAGTTTCAAATGGGCTGTTCCTTGTAATGTTCACAGCACCTGTATGGTCTCAGATGTAAGTAAAACAAGGTTCAGTGAATGCATAAGGATAAAGGAGATGGGAGCCCAGAGAAGAGCCAGGTGAAGGGGAGGGTCCGGTCTTCGGGACCACCCAGAGCACGAGTGCACGCGACAACCCTCTGAAAGCAGGTCTCGAGGTGGAAAGAGGAAGCTGGCCCTGGGCAAGAGAACCAACGTACCTAAGAAGCCTCAGGGCAGGCAGGAACCAAGTGGGGAGTTGGGTAAGAGAAGGCAGAATAATGAAGAGCCAGGAAAGAGAACTGAGGGGCAGGAAAAAGTTTGCTGCGATATTCCTCAGACTAATTTAGCGCTGGCACGAGACCCGTGTTTAGTAACTATCCGAATTACAGATTACTAGACAGGCTAATTGCGAACTCAGACACCGTTTTCTTAAACTAACGCAAGAAAACCCACGAAACACCCAGGATGCGCCGGAATGAGGAGGCCCGCCCCCACGCCCTCCCGACGCAAGCCCGAGGCCGCCCATCGTTTACGACGGGCCGGAAAGTAGCGACCGCAGCCAGCTCCGGGCTGATCTGGGCCACTATGGGGGTGAGACGGGGGCGAACCCCTGCCGGGGCAGGGACTGGACAGTGTGGCGGATCTGGGATGTCGGAGCTCGTTCCAAGAGAGAATGAGGGGAGTGAGCTCCTGCTGACAAGGAGCGGAGAGGGAGGGCTCGTGCCGGGGCGAGCGGGGCGGGGCTAGGCGTGGGTCTGCGCAGGCGCGTGTAATGCCCTTGCTTTGGCCGCCCCTTCCTCTCAGAAAATCGCGCTGCAGCTCAAAGCCACGCTGGAGAACGTCACTAACCTCCGGCCTGTGGGAGAGGACTTCCGGTGGTACCTAAAGGTGCGACTGCAGGGGCGGAGCCCCTGACGGGGAGAGGGAGGGGCTCCGGGAGGCTGTGGGCACTTCGAGGTTCCGGGAGGGGGCGCCAGCGGCGGGGGAAAGGTTTTCAGCCTGATCCAAGTGTTGAACGGGAGCGTTCTCTCCAGCAAGGTTAAAGTGTTTAACCATTAAATATTCTTCTTTTTCTGGTTAGGATTTTATGTATGTTTTTTAAAGTTTATTGGTTAATCCTAATTGACAGTGTCTTGGAATTCCTTTTGTAATTTTTTTCTCCGTTAAATATTTTATGGTATGTAAACAAGTGCTAAACGAAAGGCTACTTGAAGGGATATTGTGATTATTTCATAAGGAGAATAATTTCATCTTTTATTTGTTGATTGGTTTTATTATGAAATCATTTAATTTTGTGCATGGCTCCACCCGTACTTCCCCACCCAAACTGGTACATCTGGTACTACCCTAGTGGCATGGTCTAGAGAGGTCCCCCTCTTATCTGAGCAGATCCCAGAGCTTGCAGCATCCTTCAGTACCTGACAAAAGCCTTTTCTCTTTCAGGAAGCCTCTGACCACCTTTAATTTTATATATTTTGAAGCCCAAGTTCCAGGGCTTGTTTGGGGAATTGACCTGTGGTTTCAAAAAGCACAGAGTCTAGGGAAGGAGACAGAGAAATAGAGTAACGACAGAGTGATAAATATTTATACCAGGGACCTTCAGGGCTTGTAGGAACACAGAAGAAGCTCCTAACCTAGCAGAGGGGGTGGGGGGCCTGTTGAGACCATCCCTGTACCACATGAGCCTTGAATCCCCAGGTAGATTGGGCACTTCTTAGAGGATGAGAAGCACCTTAGCATTTCTTTGCCCAGAGGTAAGTCTGGTTATGTCCTTGGTGAGGCTAGTTGTGAGGATGAGGTAGGATTGCTGACATGAAGGTAGATCATGAGCCTGCCTTCTTACCCTTCCCTCAGTGTCTGCCAACTGAGCTAACTACTTTACTAATACTTTTTTCCACCCCCAAGATGAAGTGTGGCAACTGTGGTGAGATTTCAGAGAAGTGGCAATACATTCGGCAGATGGTAATTGCTCCCCTCTCCACCATAGCCACGCACAAACACACATACATCTCTAAGCAGGAATTTGGGGAATCTGTGACCCTAATCTCTCTAGTCTTTGGACCTTGCTTTTATGGTTTGGGAGGGCAGGCATTCATATGATCAACAGTGGGAACAACGGGCTTCTTTGGGATATGAGGCAGTTCAAAATCAAGGGGAGGAAGCCCTTTCCTCGGTCTCAAGAAGCCTCAGCAGGATTCTTGTCCTAGCAAGTCACTCACCCTCTCTGGATCTTGGTCTCTTCAGTTGGATAGTAAGTGGTGGGACTGGATGTCTTCAGGACCCTACAACTAATTGATATGTGACTAGAGGTTCTATTTACTTCTTGCTAGGACAGTGTGGCACTGAAGGGAGGCCGTGGCAGTGCCTCCATGGTCCAGAAGTGCAAGCTGTGCGCGAGGGAAAACTCCATTGGTAGGTCAGGCCATGACTACTGAGCTCTGCCAGGCTAGCCCCTAGTTTTCTGACGCCAGACCTAAAGCAGGTTCATGTTACCTGAGGTACCCACGCTTCTGCAGCAGACTCTTTCCCAGAGCCACATCTGGGGACCTGGGGTAGGACTTAGGTGTGCACTCAAGTCATCTTTGTCTTCTGTTTTATGTTTCAGAGATTTTGAGCAGCACCATCAAATCTTACAATGTAAGTTGCCTGCTGTAATGGTGGGATTAAATCCAAAGCTGGGAGCTAGGAGGCCTGGGTTCTAGAGTTATAAGTGCTGGGCTGTAGGAGCTCAGGGGACCTCTGATTCAACCTGGCACCTCAGTGGCCATTATTGGGAGCACTTGCCTTATCTACATTTAGGGGTCTAGTGAGTCTTCTCTGAAACCATGGGCAAGAGAGTCTTTAAATGGTACTTTCCATCCATTATATTGTCCAAATTATTAGGTAGTTACACATTATTGTATAACAAATTAGTCCCAAAGTGAGGAAGGGTGGGCATGCTTTGAGTCTGTGTGTTTAAAGAAGGGAATTTAACTTGTATTTATCCATTCCTTATTTGGTATTTTTGAAAAATACCTCATTTATGTCAAACTCTAAGCTTTGTCCTGAAGTTAAAGAGAAATCAAATAAGGACTTGCCCTCAAGTAAATCATAATCATAGTGGAAGAGACAGACTAGCAAACAAAAAACAAACTAGGACCAATGGAGAATTATCAGGCACGTGGTTGGTGTGCAGGAAATTATTTTACAGTGACTGACAGAATGAGAGTGAATGTGTAGAGATGACGCTTGGAGTCTCAGAGCCCATGGGTCAGGTAGGCATGAATTTCCTGGCTATACCATAGGTGCTCCCTCTAGAAGCAAATCTCATTTCAAAGGCTTTAAGTCAGCCCCCTGCCTTCACAGCATAGCAGGTGGTTAGCAAAAGGCTGCAGGTTAAGTGTACTGGGGCTCTTTGGATGATCTGGAGACCTTTGTATATTAACATTCTTACTCATATTTGTGATGTTGGTAATTTTATCCACAAGCTACTGAGCATAGTGTTGGGTACTCTGCTGGGCACTTGACACATAGTGGTTTCCTCACCTCTGTTTGATAGTCTCGGGCCCAGAAGGAAAGGAAAGCAGAGCTGTGCTTCGTATCTAGGCGGACTGACCTGAGTCCACATTCTTTGTTCTGTAGCAACCATGTCCAAGGTCTTATGGGGAGCAGGTGGCTAAGGCAGGCTTTCTCTGGAAGGGGGTGAGTTGATCCAGTGTCCCATTCTGGGCTCACAGGGGCAGTAAGGACCTGCTTAGCAGGAAGGGTAGGGGAAATAGGGTTATCTTGAGAGACCATTTGGGCCTACCTCCTCAATATACTTCCTTTCTAGGCTGAAGACAATGAGAAGTTCAAGACGATAGTCGAGTTTGAGTGCCGGGGCCTTGAACCAGTTGATTTCCAGCCCCAGGTGCGTGATTTCCTGGAGAACCTATATCTTTGGGGAGGGCATATAGGAAGTAATAGCAGAACTTTGCTTCCTGCAGACACCGTGGAGTAGGAATTCTCTTTTGTAAGAATAACAATAATTATTAAGTGCTAGTAAATGTTGGGCACCATGCTGGTCACTTTTACATGTTATCTTACTTAATCCTCACAGTCACCCTGTGAAGTTATTCGTACAGTTTTTCAGCCAAGGAAATAACTTCAAAGGTTTTGCACTTTCCCAGGGTGACACATTTTGAATGCAGGTCTATTGACTCCAGAGCCAGTGCTCATCCCACTTTATTGGTGTAGCATTTTCACCTCACAACAAGTCTTGTGAAGTAGGCAGAAGAGAGAGTGTTGTCATCCCCATTTCATAAATAAGAAAACTAAGGTCCAGAGAGGGAAGCAACGTTCCCAAATGGCAGATGGTTAGCAAACGGCTGCCACTAAGTGTACTGGGACCATTTGAATGACCTGGAGACTTTATAGCTTAGTCTGTCTTTCAGACAATCAGAAAGAGTTTATCCCACCCCTCTTGTCTTTGGGGTCTAATTGGAGGAACTACTCTAGTTTGGGGCAGCTGCCAGGCCCTGGGAGTTTGGTAGTTATTCCAGAACAGCTACTCTGTCCTTCCTTCCCAAATGGTGTGGTGAGAAAAGCCAGTTCCCTGGCCAGGCTCACGTACCAGACCAGTGTCTCCTTCCCCTCAGACTAACTGCTGCCTTCCTGACCCTTGCAGGCTGGGTTTGCTGCTGAGGGTGCGGAATCGGGGACAGTCTTCAGGGACATTAATCTGCAGGAGAAGGTACGGGACTTGGGAGCCTTGCAGGGTGCTGTAGGGCATGTGGTGGAAATTACCTTTTTTGATGAACAAGGGTCATCAACGGAAAGCTGTCTGCACATCTTTGTGCATTTTGTTGTTTAAGATGGCCCCAAGCATAAGGCTGAAATGCAAGGAGGCTGGACGTGCCTGCTGGAGGCAATATATATTAGATAAGCTTTGTTCAGGCATGAGTAATTATGCTGTTGTCTGTGAGTTCAATTTTTTTTTTAAATCCTCACCTGAGGATATTTTTCTATTTATCTTCAGATAGTGGGAGGGAGAGAAAGGGAGAAAAAGGGAGAGAGGGACAAACAACGACATAAGAGGGACACATCGACTGGCTGCCTCTCACACAACCCCAGCCAGGGCTGGGGACGAACCACAACTGAGGTATATGCCCTTGACCGGAATCGAACCCGTGACTCTAGTCTGTGGACCGACGCTCTACTGCTGAGCCAAACTGGCCAGGGCTGTGAGTTCAGTTTTAATGAATCAACAATATATTAAAAGGTTTTTTAAACAGAATCATACATGAAACAAGGTTATGTATTAATTGGCTGAAGAAAATGTTGTGATCAGATGCTCCCAGGAACATCAATCTGTATTTTTCCTGGGAGCATTGGTTCATTATTCACTAATTCGGCGTTTGTGGTGACTTTGTAGAACATAATTACTACAAATAATGAGAATCAACTCTATTACTGAACACGGTACTGCCTTGCAGATAAGGAAACCTTGTGTTCAGGCCTCGAAGGAAGACAAAAACGTCCTCCAATTTGTATAGCACATAATAAAAACAGTAGCTGGAATTTATTGAGCTCTTACATGCACCTGGCACTATACTAAGTACTTTTACATGTGTTACTTCATTTGATTCTTTCAACATTCAACGTGAAGTCTATTGTCCTTTATTTTTTAAAAAAATAGAGAATAGCACTGAGAATCAGAATGGTTAAGCCATTTGCCCAAAATCACAAAGCTAGAAGAGCTAGAATTCAGGCCTGAGCAGTCTAGCTCTGTTCTAGGTCATTCATGTTCATGAATGGCTGAGTCAGAGCCTGAACTGGGCCTTTTAAGTCCCAGTTCTCCACTCCACACTGTTGTGAGGCTGACACTGCCATTTTCCCCCCACAGGACTGGACTGACTATGATGAAAAGGCTCAGGACTCTGTGGGAATTTACGAGGTCACCCACCAGTTTGTGAAGTGCTGAACCCTCTTCCTGCATACTTGCCTCTAAGGACCGAGAAGGGACAGTGTACCCCAAGCAGCAGAGCCCACCGAGGCTGGTGCCCTCATCCCTTGTTTCCTGGCAGCTGTCCAAGCCCTCACAGTCTGCATGCTGGGTTCTGTCACAGCTTCCCAAGCCCCACCAATAAAGCCCTTGTTTGTGCTGTACTCATGCATGAAAGTAGAGTCAGGTAGCAGCTACTCACTCCATAAATAAGAATTCATGTTGGAGGTCTTTTACTGCTTCCTGACACCTTCCCACAATATAGAATCTTACACCTGACTCAATTTGAAAAATATGCAGGAACACATAGCTTCTAAGGGCTCTCTAGCTTGTGAGGAGTGAGCAGGTCAACCTAGAGATCCAAAGGTGTCAGAGCCAATGGTACAAAATGCAGCTGAGCCTGTGGAAGGATGCCATGAGCCCAATAATCCTGAGCCAAAACACTGCATTGATTAGCTTGGCTCTTAAGTAAATGCAAGTATCTCTGTTAGCTGGTGTCACTTCATATTCTAGGGTCAGAAGGGACTGTAGAGGTAAGCAAACCAGTCCTGGCGTGAATCTACTCTATGAAATTTGGGCCAGGAAGTCATTAGGTCTTTGCTCACTTGCTGTGATGGGCTTTCTCCTCCCATCACAGAAATCAGTATGAAAGTTCTTATGCTAAATCAGCCTCTATGCTCCCAGTAGCTCCTGGTCCTGATTTGTCCCCTTTGTAGTCATACTTCTGTATGCTGCCCCCAGGCAGCTCTGTAGAAGTGTGAAGATAACAGTCATGGGCCTGGTTCCCTGGGTCTGAAGACCCCCTACACAGGGGACAGAGTTATGTAATGCACAGTTAGGTCATGAGAGTACGTATGCTCATGCCTTCCCATTAGCAAATCCATTTGGAAAACCTGTTACAAAAGACCTTATTTCTCCAGTGTTCTGCTGGAGCCTGGAATTCTTTGGAAGTAAAATTAGTACAGTATCTTCATTTTCTGAATGGCCCACCGGGAAAGGGTCTGCCTACTCCCAGGCTGGTTATGGGGCTCTAGGAAGGGGGATCCTCGATGTCAGGTAAAGGTGGCCTTGTCCAAGAATGGTAGAGGTGCCTGCCTTGTCCCCTTTCCCGTCTGGCAGCTGCATCTTGTTTCCTCTAGGTCTTGTATTCCCTGGGGCCTCTTTTCTGTACCTGACAATAGTACTTCTTCAGCCCTCGCTCAGCCAGCAGGCCTTCTAGCCCCTACCCACTGGGTCCAGTCTGCTGCCAAGCCTGAAAGCAAATAAGTGGAAGTAACAGGCTGGGTAAGCAGCCTTTCTAGTTTTCTGTCTCTATACCAGCCAGTATGTGTTGACCTCATAAAGACAAACACTAGAAGGATCTATAGGTTTTGTTTATATATATATATACATTTTTCCCCCTCACCTGAGGACATCTTTTCATTTTGTTCAGATAGAGTGGGAGGAAGAGAGAGAGAGAGAAACATCAACTTAAAAGGGACATATAGAGTGGCTGCCACCCACACGACCCAACCAGGGCCAGGGACGAACTTTAACCGAGATACGTGCCCTTAGCGGGAACCAAAGCCAGATCTCTTTGGACCGCAGGCCAACACTCTAACTGCTGAGCCAAACCGGCCAGGGGGGTTTTGTTTATATTTTAAATTGCCCTCTCATCTTTCAGGAGGTAAAAGAACTCAAAGTATCATTAATTAAAAGAAGAAAATAGAGTATGTCAATAGATGCAATAATTAAACTTTATTTCTGCTTCAACAATAAATATACCTGAGTTATTTTTCCAAAGCCTACCCTCCAATCAAATACCCTTAAAATGAAATCACACATTATCTTTCATTGTAATCTAATTCCACTTGGAAATGACATGTTTCGTTTTAAAACCACAATTTCAAAGCTCAGGCTTTACAGCACTGGCTGTTTAGGCACCTCATGATCAGTTCCATCACAGAATAGTACTTATTGGCTACACAGACCTCAGTTTTCATGTCGATGAAGCAATGGAGACTAACCCATCCAGAAGCTAAGTTTTGATAGATTTGCCTTCCATGGCATCAAACATGTCTTCTAAGGCCTTCTGCACACATTGTAGAAACTCCCGGGCATTGCGACCTTTGTAGGAGGAGACATTGCAGCCTATCCAGTTGTCATGAACAGCATACCCAATGCCAAAGCCATCAGGGACCACGGGGGCAAAGCCACCAATGTTCACTGCTGGGCTGGCCAGTGTGCTAGTGGACAGGATGTTGTGGTTTATCTGTGCATATGCAGGGTCCAGATACAGCTCAGGTAGGACAATCCCTTTGGCTGCTGCCAGGTATCGCAGAGCAAATAAGTGTCGGTCAAAGCCCTGGCCTGTCAGAGAGAAAACAAAAAAGCAGAGTCTCAGAATTGCAGAACTAAAAGGAGCCTTAGTAAAACCTCCCACCCCTGTAAGAGTCCCCTTCACAGCATCCTTGAGAGTGGAAGGGAGGGCCTGTCCACCTCTGCATGCACATCTCCAGCTCTGACCTCTGGAGCAGTTCATTCTAGAATAAAAAATGGGCCCCAAATGAAAGCATGTAGTTTTAAAAACTCTGAAACTAAGTCAATTTAGTCAGATAGCCAAGAAAAATACAGGAAGAGAGCTCTGGACTCAAAAACTAAGATAAAACCCAAATCCAAATCAAATGTAAAAGACAGAAATGAGTAAGTGGAACAAAATGAAGAGTTCTAATCTCATCTTTACTGCTAATTTGCAGTGTAACCCTGGGCCAGTGGCCTCGGTTGCCTACCTATAAAATGGGACAGGATGAGATCAGAATGTCCTAGAAGTCCCTTTTAGTTCCAGGACTTTGGACTGCATGAAAGGATTGGTCTATATGATCCTCCAGGTCCTTTCCAGGTCTCAAATTTTGCCACAAAGAGGCAAAGCAGGATGACACTTAGATTTGGGAAGAGCTTCTGAAATGATCTATTTACAGGGAGCCAACATGCGACATCTGAGGTGAAGTAAAGAGAGGCTGCAGGCTTAGAAATCCTAAATTGTCAAACTGAATCTAATGACCAATAAATAGTAGAGAATTGTGTCACAGCTCAAAGTGACCTTCAGTGAGGATGAAGTTAGATGCATTTCCCGATCCCTGCTTAGGAGAAAACATTCTGATCCCTAGTGGCTTGTCTGACTGTTCAGACTATTAGAGTAGAAAAAAATAATCATAAGGGAGCTGGCTGATGGATTAAACCTAGTAAAGGGGTGGGGGAGGAGAGGGATTCACTGAGTAGAATATTACTGAGGCCTATCCCAGTGCTGAGGGCAAGAAGACCCATGGGCATGCTCCCCACCCCCATCTCACCCATTGCTGCTTCTTTGGTCAGCTGGCCATGGTATCTGGAGCACTCGGCCATCATCTGCTGAAGCTCTCCAGCACTGTGCTTGGAGGGCTCCCTGACAAAGGCCTCAGAACACCTCTTTGTGAAGATGGAGGCTGGACGGATGGTCTCCGTGCGGCCATGCTTGAATGCTGCAGTGCTGCAGGACTCGTAGGTGGCCACTGTCTGCCCATACTGCCGCAGAAAGGCCATTTGGAAGGCCAGCTGGGCCACCGAGTCAGGGCTCAGCTTCTGTTTCTTCAAGAATTCTTTGCCTCCTCTCTGAAACTGGATGCAGTCAATGGTGAGGGTCTTCATGGTGGCATCAAACTTTTCTTTAGCAGCTCTGATGCCAGTCTTTAAGGCATCATTCAGCTTGAAGTTGAGTTTCTGCACAGCAGCAGAAGAGTCAGTGCTGGCCGGCTGGCTCTGTGGAGTGATGGCAGGGGTCTGAGTGCTGTCTTTAAACACTTCATTGAAAAACCTGAGCACTGCAACACCATCGCCCCACGCATGCTCAAAGTGGACAGCCGCAGTGCCGTCCTTGGCTATAATGAGGTTAAAGGATTTATCAAACCAGCGGTTTGTGCCATCACTGTGCAGCATGGTGTGGGACAAGTGGACAAGGTCCTTAATGGGGAAGTCATCTAGGCAGAGACAGAACACAGCAGAGTCCACTTTCCTCAGGGTCTCCTCATTGCCACTACTCACCAGCTTCTGCCTGAGCTCTGCCCAGGTATCTCGATTCTCACTGGTCAGATAAGCCAGTGGAAACTCGGGGGCAGGGCCATTGTCTGAGAGAATGTACTTCAGATGAGCCTGGATTTCAGAGGCGCTCATAATGTTCCCATCGTGATCCAGGACATCAAAGACATAGAAATGTCCTTTTCTTAGGACCAGGAGGTGTCTGGCCTTGTCATCAGTGAAGAGTTCATCACGACTGGGTCTGGGTAAACGAGTTGAATTGAAAAGCCGAAAATACTGGGACATATCCAGTGGATATGCATTTACCAAGTAAGCACCATACCAAGACAGAGAGGAAGGCACAAGTCGTATGAGTTTCTTGAAGATATCAGTGTCACTTTTGGCAGGGTTCAAGTGGAACACTTCTGGCTCCAAAAGGCCAGCCCGGAGTGTCTTCAGAAACCGGATGGCAGAAACCGTCATGTTGGTTGCCCTGGTGAGCTGGTCATTATACTCAGACTTAGGATCAGGATTGAATGCCATAAATGGATTAAAGTTCAGGACAATGGGGTCTCGAGCAGTTAAGTACATATCGAACCAGGGGCCTAAAAATGTAAAAATAAAAAAAGAACAACAAAAGTGAACGCAGTTTCTAAAAATAAAATTTGAGACAGTAAATAAATTAAGCATATGCAGAAGAAATGATATCAACCTTCCAGAGGGAGGAATTTCCTGATTATTTTTTTTGCTCTGCAGTAATTCATGTTATACAAACAGGATCATACACTATGTGGTCTGGCTTCTATAATTTACACTAATGTTTTTGAGGTTCATCGATGTTGTAGCATGTATGTTCTTCATTTCTTTTTATTGCTGAATAATGTTCCATATAGCACATTTTGTTTATCCATTCATCAGTTGATGGGCATTGGGTTTCCACTTTTTGGTTATTATGAATAATGCTGTTATGTACAATTTTTGTGAGGATGTATGTTTTCAATTCCCTTAGGGATATAGTTAGGAGTGGAACTGGTTGGTCATGTGGTAAGTCTGTGTTTAACCTTTTGAGGAACTGCTAAGTGCCTGCATCATCATCACCAGCAGTGTATGAAGGTTCCAATTTCTCCACATCTTCGGCAACATTTGTTATTGTTTGTCTTTTTGATTGGAGCCAGTCTGCTGGGTAACCATCATTGTGATTTTGATGTGAATTTCCCTAATGTTTATTAATTGCCTTTTCTTTTTCATTCTGTTTCCTTTCTTTTTTTTAATCCTCACCTGAGGACATTTTGCATTTATCTTCAGATAAAGCAGAGGGA